CATAGTAAAAGTAAAGCTCTTCTCCAAGGTAGCCAACATTATCCAAGAACATGTACAACTATTCTACTACTACAACCACTGTACTAACATGTCAAGTCACCACATCAAGCTAAGATGCTTCAAAGATACACCAAGGCAAACATTATTAACTAACCATGCATTAAAGATGATTATTTGATTTCATTTTAAACTAGGGCTACAACAGCAACATATATTTCTAGTGCTCATAAAAATCTGAGAAAATTACAGTAGCATAGTACTACTCTAAGTAGACTACCATAAAATTTTCATGGCATTTGGATAAGTAAAATACCCTACACAAAAATGACAAGGCATAATTGCTTAAAAGGCATAAATAGGAAACCTTAGTGAAAAGTGTCAAAAAACAGATTTCATATTTTTCTTAACATCCTTAAGGTATTGATATACTCCCCACAAAATTTCATGGTCATAGGATTTCTAGATAATTTACAAAAATTCACACAAGTATCAATCAATGATGAAAGGAAAATCTATAACTCAAAAACCATACATGCAATGACTCTAAATTTTTTACCAGAGCTTCTACTAAGCAAGAATAGCTTACCCACAAAATTTCATAATTTTTGGAGTACAGAAACTCAAGATATAATTTAAACAAGTTTGTATGCATTTAAAAACACCTTTCAAGTTCCTATTTAATTCATCCAAAATTTCCACTTCAAGTGTTCATGTAATATTTTTACTAAATACTAGACTTCACTGTGATACTACAAAAATTAGAATCACACCATTTGAATCTACCAAAATGGAGATACAAAATTCACAAAACAGCATTCAAATCTGAACAAATGCACTAGCTTTCAGAAGCTGAGTCACTGACGCTCGGGACCCACAAAACAGGAGGGCCCGCATGTCATCGGCACCAAAACAGGGGAGCGACGCTGCGCTACGCTGCTCGGCCGAAGCATCACCGGCGGTGAGATTTTTCGGCGACGAGGAGGGTACCTCCGTGTACGCCTCGACCTCCCGCGTCGATTGACCTCCTAAACCTAGACTCTATCGGCCTCTAGGTGCGTCGGCCATGGCGACGGCGGCTCGGCCATGGTGCCCGGCGGAGCTCCGGCGAACCCTGGCGCTAAATGCCCGGCTAAAACGCGCATAGCAATCCAAGGACCATGGCGGACCTCCCTACGTTACTCCTAATGGATGCGGTGAAGTGGTGGAGTGCGGCCACATGAGGTCAACGGTGCGGCCATGGCGCACGGCGGTGCGCGGCCGTGTTTTGGCTCGACCGGAACGGCATTGTCGGAAACATCTTCACTAGAACAACTACACATGATGGAGAAGATGACGTAGAAGAAAAAAAAAGATCATGGAAGAGCGCTGGTCCGCAAGTTCCACGGCGAGCTCGCACTCCGGCGAGGCGCCGGTCAGGGCGGAGGTTACAGGATCGACAAATGGGCCCTCACCTAGTCACGAACACAACTGCGGAGAGCTCGAGCGAGTAGATCAGTGCAGGGCGCTTCTATGCGTGCGAGCGATTACACAGTGGCTGGCCAGCGGAGGAGCTGCACGACGGCGGCGCTGCTCGGCAATGGCGAAGGCGCGGTGCTTTGCTTCTGGCAGACTGGCGAGGTGAGGAGGCGTGGACGAAGCAAATAAGCGAGCCGTCGGGCGCGTGGCAATGTCGTGGCAGCAACTGCCTGACTGGCGGGGGCAGCGCCGGCGTACGGCCACCACTTGGCCGCCGCGGCCTGACGATGTCGGCCAGCTGGCCCGCCTGAAATTTTCGTTTCAGAGCCCAACGGCCGACTGACAGAGCAAAAACATCGATCCATATCTTCTAAACCGTGCTGATCTGGCTCCTGGCGTAGTTGATAAAGTTGGAGATCTAAGTGAGGACTACAACTTTTCCAATTGAAACTTGAGCTGGTTCGGCCTGGTTAGGGAGATACAGGGCTCCAAACATCGGTACATGAAACTGAAAATCAGTCCCAAGACTTAGAAAAATTCTAAGTCACCAAATTGCCCCCAAAACTGACTTGTGGGAACTTTTTGAGCATGTTGTGCATGTTTTCATGACTTGACCTCTAAACAAAATTTGTTACGTATATAATTTGCTACAACTTTGTTTTAGGTTGCTCAGACATGCAAACACTCTAAGCTGTACTTCTTAAACAGTCAAACAACAGAGCTCCAGGGGTCAACACAAGTCAAACTATTACTTGGAAGTGTAATTAGGCAATATGATCAACATGAACATTGTTTCAAATGACATTCTAGGTGTCACTAAGTTGTTTAAGAGAATTATTAGCCACATCACATATTGGTCACACAAGAATCAAGCACTGTATGTACTGAAACAATGAAAAACAATTGAAATGTTACATTTGTTTCATAGTCACGTTTCACACGTTTCATGCACACATGGCAAAACAAACGTAGCACCCAATCTAGTAAAACAAAACTATGCCACATACATGTTTCATTAGTATGTTTCCATTCTATATTTCATGTCATGCGTATGCATGCATAATAATGATTATGCCCATGATTTGCAAAATGTTAATGCATGCTTAACACCGAGGTGTTACAAGCACCAACCGCCGGGCGGGGGCGGTGCTCACCGCACAGAGCCTCATGAGTCCGATCCAATGTTACCCATGCAAACCGACACCGACGCAGGAAAATGAAAGATTGATGCGTGGTTGGCGCGAAAATACCTTGCTTCCTCCTTAAGCAACCAGGGAATGAGAGTTCTTGTTTGATACTGTAGATCTTTAAAAAAAAGCTGTGGCATGAGAGCAAATCAGAGTTGGACATCTTTTGTGATAACCATACCATATAGACGGACTGAACGGAATAATTGTTATTGTTTAGTTTTGATGATAACATATATAATAACGGCAGGGCAAACTCACCTGTGCACGTGGCGCGTATTATATACGCAGAGGTAGTTGTTAAGGCCCTGTTCGCTTCAACTTATCAGCTAGAATCTACAGTATTTTTCTTTCACAATAAAACAGCTTCAGCCGACTTATCAGCCAGCTTGAATAAAAAAAAAACTTGTTGATGGTGTCTATGGCAATAATATCAATTGTATTAAGGTCTATCTGCCGAAATGCCTGATACTGGCAAAACCAGCTATCGATCATTTCGACTGTTCTAGTCATATTGATACCGAAAAGAAAAAGCAAATAACTCTGGCCTGATGTAAAATTTTACACTCTTCCTACACTTCAGGTGCCGGAAAAATGGCTGAGATTTTAGGGGACAGTTTAATTTTCTGATTCGGGGATGGGATTGCGTGCTGGAGGATGGGGGCACTTTTATACCTGGTATTTCTTGCGACCATCAAAAAAACACTTGCAAGATTAACTAGACACGCGCACTTCTGTATTGATGTTGAGACCATAGATTATTTTGTTATCGTTTAACTTTAGAAAAAATTGTGTTTTGCTATTCTTCTCCGAACCATTTATTTTGCTGCGGGCTCCAGAGTCTCCACATGGAGTACCTTTTATTTAAGTCGGTGGTAACTTTTTTTCACGATTCTGCTAGCGCGGGTGGGCGCAGACGGGGAGCAGAAAAAAAAAGTCACTACAGTAAATAAACAGCAGTGGTTGTACAGTGCGAGCAGTGATTAACATAGTACAATAAACAGTGTATGCCACAGTTGCTATAGTAACCGAATAGCGGAGGAGGCAGGGATTTATTCCTGAGGGTTACTTAATTATATTTGGAACACGAGATTTTTATTTCTATGTGTTTTTCTATAAACTTAAACTGAAATAATTTATGTCAATTCCTGTGAAATTTCTACGTTTTCCCATGAAAACGTTGGAGAGCTACGTATCATTATATTAAGAATTTAGAAGAAAGGGAATAAGTTTTTTAGCACTCTTTTAGACGGGCTTTAATAGGGAAATAGGGAATAAGTTGTTAGAGTGGAATAATCTCGTAGCAAGAATTACAAAAAAATAATTTATGAGAAGAAAGGGATACCTTTTTTGGATTTTGAAAAATATTTATTATTTCATAGTAAATTACATCAGTCTTATAGGAAATTTGGCATTTAATGATACCACTAAAAACTATTTTTTTGTGGTTCCTAAAGAGAGGAGTGATTTAACCTAAGATAATTTACCAAGAAAGAATTGGAGCGAGAACAAATCGCATGTTTTGTTGTAGAGATGAAACACCTCTTCTTTGATTGTACCTATGCTAAATTCTTTTGGCAAACAATTTATTTGGTTCTAGGTCACGACCTTCATTAAATATTCTTGATTTTTTAATGGATGGTTACAAACATGGGGGCAAATAAAATACATTGCTAGTATAGTATTATTAAGGAGGTGCTACCATCTGTTAGACAATATATGCCTTACAAGAAAGGAAATGATTTTTTTTTAAGTTTTAACAATTGTCGTCTAAAAATTTTTCTGCTGCTCCTATTTAGGGGAACACACTAGCTTCACCATTAGGCGCTGCTACAATAGCATGAACAAAACAGGGAGCAAATCTTCTAAGTTTATCGTGTGCTAGAAACATTAGCTATGTAGAATTGAACTTTGAGGTGGATACTATATTGGTTTTGTTTTAAGTTAATGTAATAGGTGATCTGATTCTCATAGTTATAAGGGATGATGATGCTAGATGTTATTCCTTTATAAAAAAGGACAGAAGACTTCTTATTAATCGCGGTCTATTTATTCACCTTCAACACAAAGGATACAACTGTTTGCATAGGTCACCAACAGGACACGTCGCAATGTCGCAATATTACGCGTGCATCAGCTTGTAGATTATTTTTGCTCTATGCATAATTTAGCATTTATTTATTTATTTATTTAATATATCATTTCATAAGCTAGCTTGTCAGCCAATTGCATTGCGTGCTTCACACCTTCATATTGGAAGTCTCGCCCCAGCTCCAGCAAGCATAAAGACAGTCGACAGAGCGAAAAAAAAAACATCCTTTTGTAACAAACGCAGGCGCAGGGTCATTCCCATATCCCATGAGGAAGCTCGCGGAGAGGCTGAGGGCCTTCTGCAGGAACCGATGGCTGGTGTTGGTGGCTGCAATGTGGGTGCAGTCCATGGCCGGCATCGGCTACCTCTTCGGCGCCATCTCGCCGGTGCTTAAGGCCAGCCTCGGGTACAACCAGCGGCAGGTGGCCGCGCTGGCCGTCGCCAAGAACATCGGGGGCTACGTCGGCGTCGTCGCCGGCACGCTCTCGGCTGCGCTGCCGGCGTGGGCGATGCTCCTCATGGGCGCGGCGCAGAACCTCCTCGGCTACGGCAGGCTCTGGCTCATCGTCACCAGGCAGGCGCCGCCGCTGCACCTCTGTATGGTGAGTGACATCCTCTGCTTGTGTTGGTTCTTTTTTGGTTGCATGCATCCTCTGCTTGTGTTGCGTTGGTCCTTTTTTTGGTTGCTGTTTGATGAAAAATGGAATCTTTTATATATCATTACTGCTTTATTATTCATTGGCTGATGATCACTCTATTTTTTGTTTATTAATTCATCAATAAGCTAGTGTTATGAGGATCTATTACTTTTTTAAAATTGAACTTTGGATACGAGACGTGTTTCTAAATTACAGCGCAGGCTGTCAATTTTGTTGTCTGCCAAATTGCTCCATTCCTCGGGGACAACCGTTAAGATTGGTAAAAGCAAGTCCACCTCATATACGAGGAGCATGTTAATAATGAACAAAAATTCTTAAGCTTTCTTCCTTGTTGTGCTCAAAATGGTTAATTCTTCAGAAGTGATGCTACCTCTCGGTCCGAAAACCCTAATGATGAGACGATGCAACTTATGTTAGAATGGTCTGTCTAAAGTCTGAACGGGAATAATAGTGATGATGATTTATGAGTTCTATAATCAGATGCTTGCTTCTCAAATTGACTAACCCACATAGATGTGCATTCCTTTCAACTATTATTTAGGTCGTCTTTGTCGATCACTTATGTGGGGATCATATACAAATCTCCTTTTTTTACGGTTGTGCTACCACGCTCCGTCCAACCACCTACAGGGACAGCTAACCCCTGCTACCTTTATTTGTCCATATTCAAATTGTTACCATCCTGAAATTTAGCATCGGAGATGTTAGGGTCTTATTGGATCCCATGAGTTAACAAATTGCTAAAGTTTAGCTCTTAGGGATCCAAACAAGAGGACTAATGGGTGAGCTAAAGGTTAGCCAAAACCCACTATAGTTGATAGTTCACTAGTCCTTTAAAACCAACTGTCAGAGGCTAAAAGTGATATATCTCATATTCTCTCTCCTCTCTCTTCCTATGTTATTAGCCCATGATCCAAACATGTATAGGCTAACAACTAGTTGGCTAACTTTTAGATGGCTATTTCTTAGCCATGACTAACAACTATTCCTAATCCATCCAAACACAGTTCTTATGTTGTGTGCTAGTAGAGAGCTGTCTGTCTCGGTCTGCTTATGGGGTAACTAGTAGATCATCATAGTTTTGTCTCCTGCTATATTGTTGTTGTCAATGTGATCAAAAGCACTTTATGTGACTCACATATAGTAAATTCAGTACACATGGTGGAAACCGTATTCTAAACTATTGACTCACATAAGTGGCTGAGTTCAATGCCTGATTAGCACTTAGTGATCTCACGCAAATCATGTACTACTATCAAGTTTAACTTTCTGTGTTGGATGCGCACATGCACAGTGATCTCTTTAGAGTTGGAGAAGATGAAGCCAAAGTGCCAACTCGAATTGGGCAGAACAAAGCAAGGAACCCTAAAAAGTTTGAGGATAGTTTTTTTTTTAAAAAAAACTCGGTCGGTGGGGATGACCACCCCCACAATATTTTTTTTAGAAAGAACGGCAAAAACTTTGCCGCAAGTTTTATTAGACAATAAAAAGAGAAAAATAAAACCTATACAAGGGAATTACAAGCCTGATAGCTTTCACTAGGCGACTTGTCTGTCCCTCTCCCCAACTAACAACTACAAAGAAACAAAAAACGACTCCTTGAAAATCAAAGTACTCACAGCATTGCAACTAGTCGGCTGATGGAAGGGGCAGGAAACCACAACAAAGGAGAAGGAAGAAACGTGAGCAGAGGTACTAAACTTCTATTCTGATTGAGTCCCCTGATCTTGTGTTGCCATCGCTAAGCAATATTGTGTGATATCATCCTTACATAGGGAAGCCACTTGTATCGGTGGTAGGTTTTGCTGTTGGAAAATCCTTCTATTTTGCTCTTTCCATATATTCCACCAGAAGTAGATTAGAATTCCATCCACTTCCTTTCTATGGTTCTTATCAATTTTACGCCGTCATCTCAACCAAAAGGAATAGATTGATCCTACTTCGCTCACTGTATCCAACACCGATAGATTGAACCATTGCTTAATAATGCCCCATACCTTCTTGGTGAATGGGCAATCTTTGCAAAGGTGGGCTGGTGTTTCCAGATCATTATCACACAGCTTGCATTCTGTGTCTTCAGTCCACCCCCGTTTGAGTAGATTATTTGCAGTTAGGATTTTCTTGTGCATCAAAGTCTAAGCAAAGAAATGACATTTATACTCTGCTTTAGCCTTCCAAATTGGAGTTATCTTAATCCTGTTGTAAACTCCCACAAACTGTATCTGATAAGCACTTTGTGTGGTATAGACGCCATCTGCAGTCCATCACCAAGTAATATCATCTTGTATCGCCTCATTGAGAACAACTCCCTGTAACTCATCCCAGAGCCGCACAAATTGTCTCACTTCTTCCTGCGATGTCGGAGGATAAATATGATCAATCCACTTGTTACTAGTTAGCGCCTACCGAACTGTAATTTTCTTTCTTCTCATCTTTTCAAACAGCAAAGGAGCAATCAACTTTGCCATGGAGCCGTTAATCCAGTTAGAGGACCAAAAAGGGACCGTGTTTCCATCCCCCATTGTCACCACAGTTGACACATAGAAAAGGTCTCGGTCTACCTTGTCACACGGGATTTCCAAGTTGTTCCATGCCCTTTGTTTTTGTTTCCATTTGAACCACAGCCATCTTAGTCTGAGAGCTCTACTGAACCTTTCCAGGTCTAAAATTCCCAGGCCCCCTTCTGTCTTTGGAAGGCACGTTGTTGGCCAGTTGAGCAAGGAATGTCCACCACTAACTTTGTCCGGACTTTCTCCTCTCCACAAAAAAACTCCTTCTGATTCTATCAATTCTCTTTATAAGCCATTTTTTGTGCATGGAACACGGTTAGGTAACATATGGGTAAACTTGACAGCACAGTTTTAACCAATATCTCTTTTTCTGAAGAAGATAGGAATTTTTCTTTCCATCCGGGTAGTCTTGCACCAATCTGGCTTGCTCGTATCTGGCTTATAAGCCATGGCTTATCAGCCAATGAACAATATTTTTCTCTTACACTAAACCAACCAACAGTATTTTCAGCCATGGCTTATAAGCCAAATCAGCCCAAACGAACAGGCCGCTTGTCTATTAAAGGTTGTACCTCTATCCTTCTTAGCTTTCTGGTATGAAAAGGGAGCCCTAGGTACTTTCCCGGAAAGCTGCTGATCTTGCTCGGGAAGTTTTGAACAATTGCATGAATCATATTGGCTTGCATTCTAATTGGAAAAATTTCCGTTTTGGATAGGTTCACTTTTAGTCCGGAGCACTCACCAAAAACAGATAATATTTTCTGTAATCTTGCCAACTTAGTCGGTGTTGGGTTTGTAAATAGGGCTGCATCATCTGCGTAAAGAGAGCACCATAATTTTGCTTGCTTTGGGAGTACCGGTTGTAATAAGCCCTGCTGGGCCACCTGCTCGATGATTCTTTGCAGTGGGTCAATTGCAATTATAAAGAGTAATGGGGACAGGGGGTCCCCTTGCCTCAATCCCTTTGCATGTTTGATGTTCTGACTTGGTCTACCATTGATAAGGATTCTGGAAGAAGACGATCCAAGGATGGAGGATATCCATTTGCACCACTTGGTACTGAAACCCAAAGCTGTTAGAACGTCCAACAGATATTGCCATCCTATGGAATCAAACGCCTTTGAGATATCCAATTTGATGAATAGAGCCGGTTGTTTTTTCTTATGCAAGAACCGGATCACCCTCTGCACATACAGAAAATTATCATGTATACATCTTTTTTTGATGAAAGCATTTTGTGCCTGTGAGACCAACTCATTCATACGGGTGCCAATCTTGTTGCAAGCAACTTTGTAATGATCTTCGAGAGGCTATTAATTAAGCTAATCGGTCTATAATCCGCAATATTGAGTGGGTCTTGTTTTTTTGGTAGCAACACTATATTAGCCTCGTTGAACAAGTGCATTTTGGAAGTCTTGTGATTGTAGAAACCCATCACGACCTCATATAGATCATGTTTGATTATCTCCCAACATTATTTGTAGAACACCCCAATGAAACCATCCGGCCCCGGGGCCTTTTCAGAAGGTAGGATTTGATAATTTGGGAGAGCTCTTGAATTGTGAATGGCACATCCAAATCATCTAGATTGAAAGCTGAGTACCCCAAAGCACTCCAGTTTATACGCCGTGATCTCACCATGCTAGTTCCCACTGCTTTACTGAAATAATCCATCGCCACTTTGATTTTATCCTGCTGTGTAGTTGCTATCCCATCCTCAGTGTGCAATGCACTTATGTACGTCTTTTTTCTTCTTGCGTTTGCATAGATGTGGAATAGGCATGTGTTTGAATCTCCCTCCCAGATCCAAGTTAATCGGGAGTGTCGCCTGGCCTTCGCCTTCTGCACCGCCACCATCCCAACTGATCTTGCCTTGAGGAGTTTTTTGAACGCTACTTCCTCCACCGTCAATGGTCGCCTCTCTTGGGCCTTTTCAAGCTCTAGCAGGACAATCTGCAGTATGTATGCCTGCAATTTATAGTTGCTGAACTTTGCTCTCCTCCAAATTTTCAGAGCTCTTGCTGTGCGCAGCAATTTGACATGCAGTTTGAGCAATGCGTTCTACGTGTTTATCGGCTGCTCCCATGTTGTATGAACTTTTTCCAAAAAGCCCGGCATATTGACCCAATACGCCTCGAAATGGAAACCTCGGTAGAACTCGAAAGACATATCTCCTCGTAGAAAGAGTGGGCAGTGGTCTGAACCCAAGGATGTCAGGGCCTGTAGGTCTGTCCACGGAAACATTTCTAGCCACTCCGTCGTAGCAAGGAAATGGTCTATCTTTGTCATTGTTGGGTTTTGCTGATCATTGCACCAGGTAAATCGCCTTCCAAAAAGTTCCAGTGGCGCCAACCGGAGGTTGTCAATTGTGTTTTGGAATCTATTCAGCATTGGAATATTAATTCTGTTGTTGTTCTTGTCTTCCACTCGATAGATTAAATTGAAATCTCCAAGCATTAGCCACTGGTCCATCATATGTTGCTTGAGGTCCGATATTTCTTGCATGAATGCGATCTTGACTGGGTCTGTCTGTGGCCCGTAAACTCCAGTTATGCACCAAGAAACGTTCTCTTCCAACATGGTGATCTTTGCGGACACCGAGTGTGCTGTCACCTGTGTGGGTGTTAGCTTGAAAAATCTCTCAGATGCCGCCAATAAAATTCCCCCCGCAGTTCCTACCGCAGGAAGAATGGCACAGTTTGATGCCAAATCCTGGCCGACTGATTCATTCAACAATTGCTGGTTCTAGTTCTCAATTTTAGTTTCCTTGAGGCATACTATTGTTGCACCAGAGGATGTAATTAAATTACGCACGCTTGCTCTCTTTGCTTCATCATTGAGCCCTCTAACGTTCCAACAGTATTGAATAATCTTTTTGCGCCATTTAACACAGTAGCACCACTATTGACTGTTGAAGTAGTGAAACAAAGTCTTGAATTAGCTGAACATAGTCTTGGACTCACATGGACCGAAGGCAACACCACCAGCAGGTCCCTTACAGTCTTCAAGGTTGGCCGAAGGCAACAAAGCCTGCAGGCCCCAACAATTCCCACACCCAAATTGCAAGTCTGAATAAGTCTGATGCCAAAGGCAACATGGCCAGCAGGCATGAAAGGTCCTAAATCATTAAGATACATGGGCACTGATACCCCATGACGGCCACGCAGGGCCCAACTTCGCACGAAGCTACTCCTTCTGGTAGATAGGGCTGTCATTGGAGAAACCGGCCCTACTGCGGCCAAGGCCCCTCGCCTCAGGCCGCTCTCATCTTCTTCGCAGCAACCTTGTTCTTGCCAGTCTTCTTCTCCAGCTTCGCGTCATGCTCAATCAGGTCCTGGATGGTGTCCATCTCTGCCTTGTTGAGAGGGTTGTTGAGATGCTGTGAAAAACTTTCAATGTTAACTTCATTGGCATCATCTTGGCGTGGGGTTAGATCTCCTAGCTTTTTAATGAGTAGGTCCTATGCTACCGTGAGAGTGTCTTTACCAACTCTAGATTTCGCCTTATTGGCAAGCCGACTACTTTTCCTTTGTGTGAACTCGGACATCGCAACGTCCTCTAATAGTTCTATTTGGCTAGCCTCAACCTGTACTGGATCTGGGAGCAAAGGTTGTTCAATATGGTTTGTGACAGAATGCAAAAACACATTCATAGGGTCAATTATGTCTTGACTGCCCTGTGATGTGTGCTGCCCTACGTGATCTCAACCCACACTATTCTGTTCTTGGTTCAGGCCTATTCTTGGTGATGGATTAGCTGATGGTAAGAGCTGGTTACATTCCTCTGTAACTACATTGGGCTCAATGGTTTCTGTCACTTCTGTTAGATTGGCAAAATTTAAACTAAGACTAGTGACCGGGCTTGCCTCAACAGATGGGACGACTTCATTAGTTGCAATTATTTCCTCTCTTGAGTGCGTCCCTTGTTCATGATAATTGGACCCCAACCCCAACACTCTAGTCGACTGAGATGAAACTTGCTGGACTGTAGGGGATTTGTCGAGACTTACAGTCAGGTGCAGTGCGAGCTCCTTGTTGACCGTAGCCTCCAGGTTCTTTGCTGCTACCGTGTTCTGCTCTAGTTCCTTCCTGATCTCCTCTGCCCTGATGCTGTTGGGGCGCATGTACTTCTCCCGTGCAGCTGCATGAGAGGCACATAGTATAAATTCATCAAGCATCGGGTCAACTATGGGCAAGCAACATGAAGTAGACAGGATGATAGAATCTTGCAAAATAATGGGGGACTTTATGTTCTCACATGCAACTTCAGGGGGCTCCCTTAGGACAGAGGCGACTGGATCAGCGAAAGAAACACGTTTCTTAGTCTTACTCTGAGCTGTCGGCGCTGGAGCGACCTTGGCGTTGACCACAACATTTCATTAAAAAGAAAAAAACTCAGACCAAAACCACCTGAACCCTGGTAGTACAGAACCAACTTTAGGTTGTCAATGAGGGATATTTTTCAACCTAGCCTAACAATTCGTCCCCACGAGGGATCCAACCGGGGCTGCTAGGTTGCTACTTACGACTTACGAGCGCCAACCACTGGCTGGAGTCCTGTTCGCTTGAGCATAGGATTTGATGGAGAGAATCAGCAAATCCTGTTTTGTTTTCATATTCCTTGCATCTCCCCTGGTTTTTTATCCCTGAGTTAGCTTGGATACTACTTTTAAATAAATTTATGTTTTCCTAGATGAGATTTACATAATTCATCCAATTCATACCTTGCTTGCTTTTGCTTTGTTTAATGAAGCCATCTACTTCTGAATTGTCATGTTTGCACGTTAGAAAATCAAGAGAGGAAAAAATGGTACAGGCATGAGCTTCTGATAATTAAACTCGAGCAATACAATCCACCGCTATCCATGATTCCTTACAAAATTGGGAACCTTTAATGTTTTTTAAGTGTTCATTTCACCACGTTCAAATGAGCGAAGCAAAGATATATGGAACCTAACATATGATTCTTCATTGTTTTGTTATTCAGATGTGCGTTCTCATATTCGTTGGAAACAACAACGCCACATACTTCAACACAGCTTCGCTCGTGACATGCGTCCAGAACTTCCCGAGGAGCAGGGGCCCAATGGTGGGCATCCTGAAAGGATTCCTGGGCCTAACCAGCGCTATTCTGACACAAATCTACACAGTAATGCACACAACAGACCAGGCTTCACTTACCTTGATGATCGCTGTTGGTCCATCGCTGGTTGCCATTGCTATGATGTGTTATCAGGCCAGTTGGAGGTTACCTACAGGCGCGTCCATCTGACAAGAATAGCTTCGTGTTCATCTACACCATATGCCTGCTTCTCGCCTCGTATCTTGCCGGTGTCAAGCTAGTCCAAGATTTCCTGCAACTGTCTGACGATATGGTAGTTTTTCTCACTGTGATTCTGTTCGTCCTTCTTGTTTCGCCGATCGCGATCCCTGTGACCTTGACGCTAATGTCGAAAGCTGAGTATCCGATTGGAGAGGCCCTCCTATCTGAATCTGAACCATTGACAGGAGAGGGAAGCATGACAAGTTTGGGGACATTGACGCAGCATTGCCTCCATCTGAAAGGAGGAACAGGAGATCACACCTGGGGGAGAACTTCACCATGATGGAGGCACTGGGGAAGGCTGATTTTTGGCTTATCTGGATGTCATTTTTACTTGGGTCAGGATCAGGGTTGACAGTGATGACAATCTGGGTCAGATGAGCCAGGCTGTTGGATTCAAAGATGTGCATATCTTCGTGTCATTGACGAGCATATGGGACTTCCTTGGTCGTGTTGGTGGTGGCTACTTCTCTGAGATCATCGTCAGGTATCAACACTAAGCTAAGACATTACGATTTGATTATATACAATTCACTTTCAGTCACTTTTTCTGTGTATTTGTTTTCACCCTGACTAGCTATCTCTTCTTTTTAATCAGGCAACATGCATATCCAAGGCACATAGCACTAGCAATTTCTCAGATCCTGATTGCTACTGCACATTTCCTCTTTGCTATGGCTTGGCCTGGAACCATGTATATCGGGACCTTCCTGGTTGGACTCGGATATGGAGCTCATTGGGCCATTGTGCCAGCTGCTGTCTCTGAACTTTTCGGCATAAAACACTTTGGTGCAATGTACAATTTTCTCGCTCTAGCAAACCCCACAGGATCCCTTATCTTCTCAGGCCTTATTACCAGTACCCTGTATGATTATGAAGCTGAGAAACAAGCTCACCAACGTCGTCAGTTCATGGCATTGGCGTCTCCAAGGTTGCTTCACAGTGCAGGTTTTTTTGCTGATGGACCGCTTAGGTGTGAAGGGTCTGTTTGCTTCTTTGTCAGCTCTCTGATTATGTCATTGCTGTGCATTATTGGAGCCGGCTTGAGCCTCATCATTGTTCACAGGACCAAGTGGGTTTAGGGTCATCTATATCGGTCTGTGCGCGCATGAAATTTTTATATAGATAGATAGAAGAAGGAAAATCCTCATGCTACTGTTTTATGTGCCTTAATATTCTTCACCCCACCCAAAAAGTTACATATATGATTGTATATACACAAAGTTAAGTCTATCTGTAAAGTTGCGTTGTAAGAACCACTGTTTCGGGAGGTGATCCGCAAAGATCTACAACTGCTCTCTATTCTCCAATTAGCCCAAGAGGAATTGGAGTAGTAGATTGGCACATAGGCTACCTTTTTTCCCCTATTGTTTCTTCTTATTTTCATTCACTTCCAAGTAAATATTTACACATCGCTTCCTACTAATTAAAAAATGAAGGACCGAGAAAGGAGACCAGAGGAGTTGAATGGGAGTCAATTCAAAATTTCTTCCGAAATAGTTGTGGTCCGAAAATCACCCTACGAAACACCAAACCTCTCAACAGTGATGCCTTCGAGTCAACTGGTGGCTAGATGTTTTTGGTGAAGACCAAAGAACACAACAGGAAACCACAACAGCGGAAAACCAACACGCAACACCAGAACCCGAAACAGAGCTCTCAATATCATTCACGATGAAGCAAGAGTCCAACTCAAAGCCAACGGGTAACTAGAGAGTTAAGAACCTTCCTGGGCACGACTGAAAACCCTTGCAACAAGCGGATCTTGAAACGGACCAACAGAACTCCAAAACACACAAGACGTTGTTGCAAACCCTAGAAATCCGGCTAGGCCGCTTTGCAACACAACACGGCCAAGCCAATATTGCAACACCGCAAGTCAAATCGGCTAAGCCGGCTTTGCAACACGGCTGGTCCGGTTCTGCAACATCGCCAGACTGCTGCAACACAATCCGGCTAGGCCGGTTCAGCAGTTTCTAGCATCCCGCGAAAATCCTCCAACAGTAAAAAACGATTCAAACGAACTCCGATGGACTTCAAATTTTACAGGGATGTTTCTATGGGTGTTGTGGATATATTCCCAAGAGATCAACACCTAGAAGATCCTGAATGGATGCAGATCTAAAAATCCATCAAAGAGGTTGGGGTTTTCTCAAATTTCCTCCCAAGGGTAGATTTTCGTGCTCGAGATGAATCTGACCAAATCACTTAACCGATATGTTCATCTAGGGTCCTTGCACATATCCAAACCCTCAAAACAAGCTCCAAAACCGTAGGAACTCAAAATCTAAAGAAACGGAGAAGGGAGGGGAACCGGAGAAGATAAACCAAAACCAACTCAAAGCAAGAACATAGACTCAAATATCAGAAAACATGATTGTTTATTGCTGAAAGGTCAACCAAATCTAGTTCTTACAGAGGAAAGATTAATAAACACACAAAGACTATCAATCCCCCGTGCTGTGGATCTCAACATCCGTAAACTAGGAAACTAGAGACCGGGAAAACCTAGAGAATGACAACGGGAGAGATGGGATGGTTAGGAGCAGCCCACCTCTTATTTACAAAGCTATTACACAACTCCTAACATGCCCTTAGATATTTTGGCTGAACCACTTAACCCAGGGGCAAAATGGTCAAACTTGAGATCCAAGCATCCGATGGACATGGGCTCTTCATGACTTTGCTTCGCCTTGATACAAGCTTCATGATGACACCATGTCCTCCTCGCGTTCCCATCGGAACTTCAACCGGATTTTGAGGCCCAAACTCGAAAATTGTCCATCAGTGGTTTTGAGCCCCAGACCCCCAAACCCCCTGGAGAAGCATATCCGCTACGCCTCCTCCACGATCTCGACACATGTCACCATCATCCTCCACCGCTTGATCACCAAGTCCTCTTGCGCCTTCACTTGACTTGATCAACCGCCGTCTTGACTTGGTCAACATAGTCTACTCCTCCTCATGTGCTCTTACTTGTTGATGTCCCCAAGTGTCAACCACCCACGTTCAGTCTTCCGGCCATCTTGGTCCCTTGGTCCAAGTCTCACGTCCATCCTTTACCGCTCCCGGTCCATAGGCACGTCACGTCTCTACTTGGCCTTACCATGTCCGTCGATCGTTTCTGTGCTCCACACCTGTGCACCATAAAGCCAAGGGACTTGGTTGTTGATGAGAAGTACTGTTCTTTAGATGGAGATGACTTGCTGAATGGCTGAATGTGGTAGGCATGCATGGAGGTACACAGAGTGCAGATTTTGTGCAGCGGATGAAACCCATTGATAGCATTTGTTCTTTACTTATCCTTTGCCAAGATACATATGGACAGTGGTGAGATGCGAAGCTTTGATGTTATTGGTTCACAAATCATTTAGGCCTTTTAGCAGCAGTCGAAATTGCGGATCCATTTGTTCTGTGCTCATATTATTATCATGCTGCCGGATCGTCCTTCCGCAGTACTCGCAATTCAGATCCACCACTGGATCAATCATTGGTTTGCTGGTCAGCTGGTGGCGTTGCAACCTCCGGCAAGCTTTTGCTTCCGATTCATGTTGATGTTCTGGACATCATCTTCAAATTCATGTCTATTTCTGAATATCTTGCTTACTGTCTATGAGATATGCACAGACATTCTTCTTTTCTAGTAGTACTAATCTATTTATCTTTTTTTTTTTGTTTCTCCTCCAAAATAGGAGCGGCAGGAGGATAAGGCACAATCAAGTGAATTGAGCTCGTCATACATTGTACTAATAATAACAACATTTTAGTTTGTCAACTTGGTCTTAATGCCTATCAGTTTCGTACAGCTAACGCGTGACCACGACCAAAGGCAAAAGGCAACGAAGATATATTTATTTATTAATTATACTATCAATCAGCAATGTAAAAACCTGCAAATTAATTGAGAGAGTCTAGGACAAGATAATATTGTTGTCGGTCCGAAAAGGACATGACATAAAAATAAAACCGCGGGCCTCAATTTGTTTTTCTCATTTCATGACCAATTTTTTTGTACTGTATTTTGTATTTTTCGTCGTCGCAGTAGTAGGGACAGATATTTTGTAGCTTCTTTTTTGAGCGGAAGAATCACGTGGTTTTTGTATCCTAATCAATCATCACGTCAAATCATTACAGACCTCACAAGTTGTTTGCTTCCTGTCAACTATACGTGCACCAGTGCATGCGATGTCTAATCTAATAGTTTTGAGTTTTCTCAGTCTTTAACATTTTGTCACCAAATCCATGCACATCTTCTTTTCAAGATTAGGAGGATGTGGACATCATTCTAACCGCATGAAAACAAAGTTATGCTCTTTATTTGGGAGCAAATTTATTTGTGTTCACTCCTCTCTATTGGGGACTCATAGGGACAAAAAAAAAAGGAGCAAGGAAACAAAAAATGCAGAACTAGCAGCAATTAATTTTTTTCATTAAAAGGTGTTTCTCTAAGATCAGGCACATGTTGGGCATCTAATGAATTCTTTCTATCAAGGAATGATTTAACAACAATTTGCTTTCTTTTTTAGACCAAATCCCTATCTTTATATAAATTATAAGAACGCATGTTTAGGGTAACCAGCCGGATTTGTCAAACAAAATATAATAAATAAAGCTAGGAAGCTGTCCTGGATATAAAATGCATAGTTGATAATATCTTTTTACCTTTATTCTTGGGTCTTAATTGTTCTCTCTCTGAAAGGTCACATGTTAGCTGTTCTCAAATCAAAGACTGAAAAGGGTGGGGACAAAAAAAGGACAAGGCAAGTAGCCTGCCTGCAAATTGCTGAGAGCCAAGGCTGATTGGTATATTTCTCTTGTTTGTTTATAGCCGTTGATATGGGCAGCTAAACATATCAACAGGAAAAATATCACTTAGCATAATCCCATAATACAAACACATTTTTAGTGTTGAGAACTTCAGATGTACTGATGGCATCTGCCCAATCTATCTGATCATAAGATAGGGTTCAACTAGCTAATTAATGACATAAATGAGTACTAGGTGTTAGCAATCAAAATATGATCAGAAATTAAGGTCGAAAATGGATTGGAAAAACACGTGGAAACAAAAAGGATTAAAATTGGATTAAAATGGGACCATTTGGAAATTTTCGGGAAAACTCGGCCTAGGCCATTTCGGCAGGCTTTGGCAACACTAAGGGAAAACTGGCCTAGGCGGCCGGTTTTAGCAGCCTCCACCTTTACTGTTTAAACTTGCCCAGGGGTTTTGGAAACTAGCATGAGCCGGTTTTGGTAGTCTGAGTCCAATTTTATGTTTTTCCTTTGAAAACTCATATGATTTTATATGAAACTTGTAAATTACGTGTGGAATGAGATTCCTAGTGGGATAAGATCTTCCCCTCTCTATTTGTATAAGAGGATCACTGACGATTGAGAGATCCATCTATCCAATCGTCAAAATCAATCTGCCTCATTTTTATCTTCTAGATGAAGCTCTTCCAACATCGGCCCCTGTTGTCGAGTATATCTCTCTACAAGATTTGCCGGTGTTCTAAGTGACCTTGCCGATCCTAGGGCACCTCCGTTGTGCATCTCGCCGACAAGTCTTCTCGGAAGGTGTTCATGGATTTTTCAAGCGAAGAAGGAGCACCTTATCATCCTCGTCGACCTACTGGTCGGCCTCGTTGTTTAGACCTTGCTCCGCTGCGTATCTAGGTCGTATGTGGCCTCGGGGGATCTAGCCCCTATCATATGTTGCTCAACTTCAGCGTCAATGCTAGGCTTTCCTAAGACAGCACAAATCAAAAGGTACTTGGCAACATTTATGCATGCCATTAGCAAACAACAAATAGTCTTTGGCTTAAAGAATCACACCATCGTCTTAGAGAGGGTTTGACCATCATGTGATAATCCAGTAATGTTAGGCCATGCTCATTGTGTATCATCCTCGTCGATCTACTGGTCGGCCTCGTTGTTTAGACCTTGCTCTGCTGCGTCGGGGGATCTAGCCCCTATCATGTGTTGCTCAACTTCAGCGTCAATGCTAGGCTTTTCTAAGACAGCACAAATCAAAAGGTACTTGGCAGCATTTATGCATGCCATTAGCAAACAACAAATAGTCTTTGGCTTAAAGAATCACATCATGGTCTTAGAGAGGGTTTGACCATCATGTGATAATCCTGCTCATTGTGTATGTTGCAGTATGACCTTAAGGGCGGACCTGTTTTATTAGTTGATAGTGGCTCAAAAGGTATTGTATCCGTTTCAAAAAAAAGGTACTGCACAAATCATGCAATATTTTTTCAATAGATATTTGTCTCATAATTCATGAAAATACAAACGATGTGATACGTCCAGCGTCCTGTCCTGATTGATGCGATGAAAGGGGCTACACGTGATTTTAATGTAAGGTATAATAACAGTTATAAGTGATGCTAAAAAAAATCTAAAACGACTAGCATACATCACGTAGGGATCGAAGTATAATTAGGATCTTGTTTGAACCATTAGCACTAGAAATTAGTAGCTAAAATTAGTACTAGTGAATTCAAACAGACTTGTCAATAAACCTACTAATTATTAGCTGAGGGCTGTTAACTACTCCATCCGTTTTATTTTATCTGGCACAAGTTAGAATGACACGGTCTCCTAGATTATACTTTGACCGTTCATTTGCTTTATATTATATTATTTATGCTTATAAACTTATAATCATAGTATAATTCCTTATAAATCTAATTATATAAAGTTTGTATTATAATAGTTAAAGATTATTAGCCTAATTATTTGTCAGAGTTTTTAAAGTTTAAATCTTTATATGCGTGTACGCCAGATAAAATGGAACGGAGGTAGTATTAGATTCATTAACAAGTTTAAATTTGCTAATAGACACTAATAGTTCATTTGCGCCTTCAATTCACTATCTAACCACCTATTAGCAGGTAGATTCAAACAACCCCTCCTTAAAAATTTAGCTAGCTAAAAGTTAGCAGCTATTAACTACCCCATCCGTTCCAAATTATAAGTCACTTTGACTTTTTTAGTATATCTATTTTATTATACATCTAGATATAACAATATGTCTAGATATATAGCAAAATAGATGAACCAAAAAAATCAAAGTAATTTATAATTTAGAATGGAGGAAGTATTAGGTAGCTAATTTTTAATGCTAATGGATCTTAGCTTGAGAAATCTAAAAGGAGGGGCTACAGAGAAGCTCGTTATTCCCGTTGAAAGTAAAACTCTGAAAGATCGCGATGAGAGTGAAAACGGACGGGTTCTATGAACACTCAGCAGTGTATATATCTCTCGTCCATTCAGGGTTGCGTGGAGCCGTGGACCGAGACCGGCACCCCCTGGCTCTCATCGCTCATCATTGAGACTTTTAACTGTCTACCGTTATAAAAGATGGTCACGGCATGTGTGCTATAAAAAAATCGAAGGGATGAAAACGGATCGGATACGAACGGATATCACTCATATTATATTTGTTTTCATATTTCTATTCGGATTCAGATTCGGACACGGATAGCGTTCGGATACATATACGAATACGGATTGACTCGGTTACGGATACGAATAATGAGTATCGAATACGGTATGAATCGGATTCGAAGAAGGTCGGATACAAATATCTATTCAGATATTGAGTAAAAGCAGCATATATATATCAAGTGGGAACTTATATATAGGCCAGCTAGCTTAGCTAGGGCTATAGAGGATTGGGCCGTTTGGATAAAAAGTAATATTTTGGTCTAATTCCAAAAATCACAATTCGAGACAAAAAAAACAAAAAAAGCAAAAAATTATTGTTTGAGGCCCTAAATAAATTCAAATGAAAATGTTGTAATCAACAAAGTTTCATAACTTTTTGGGATCTAAAACTTTCATTTTGGTTGTTTCTCCATCTGAGATTCTGAGGTCGTTTGAAAAATCCAAATTTCAAATTTGAGAAATTTAAACGTAGTTTTCCTTCACAAGATGATTTCAAATAAAAAAAAATTCAACTATAAAGTTTCATAAATTTCTGAGATCTACAATTTTTATTTTAGTCATTTGTTCATCCGATATAGTGGTGGTAACATTATTCACGAATCTCACACATCTCTCTTATAGTTTATGAAACTACGAGAGAGATGTAAATTTTGTGAACAATGTCACTACCACAATCTCGGATGAACAAATGGCCAAAATAAAAGTTGTAGATCTTGATGAATTTTATAACTTTTATGTTCATGACTTTTTCAGCTGAAGTCATTTAATGTTTGCAAATGACGTTTGAAGTTGCTATTTTTTGAAATTCAAAATTCAAATAGATAGAATACAGTCACATAAAAAGATGAACACAATAATAGCTATAAGAACACAATAAATTGATAGAACATAATTTTAGAAAATTTTAGAAAACAAAATTATCAAATTTGAAGTTTGTACGAGGGAGAAAAACTAGTTACAAGTTTTAGCCAAAGATTAAAAAGAGAAATAGACGTTCTTTAACTATTTCGAAATTGAAATTCAAATAGTATTTTGAAGCACTAAATGATTTCAAATGAAAAAGTTGTAAACAATAAAGTTTCATAACTTTTTGAGATCTACAATTTTTATTTTGATCATTTCTCCATCCAAGGTCGTTTGAATAATATCCGTTTGAATAATATCCGGATATATCCGATACTTAACCGGATTATCCGATATCCGCCGGATATCGATGATATTACATTCGTATTTGATATCCGCCTAAGATATCCGTTTTATTATCCGTATCCAAAAAAATTATGGATATCCGAGTAACTATCCAGATAAGTGTTCATATTTGTTCGGTCAAACGAACGATCGAATAAATATGCGTACCGTTTTCATCCATACTTATGTGTCATGACACTTTACTCTCTCTTTTTTTTTTTGCCTCTCAAGCCATTCCGTCCACTTTTCCATCTAACGGTGTCAATCTGCGTTGAAAAAAGTCCCAAATACCGTGACGTTGCTTCTTGACCGTGCCCTTCTTTGTTTCCTCCGTCGGTCGTCTTCGTCCCGTCCTCCACCTTGCGTCGGGGTCAAGGAGCCCCGCGTGCACCAGTGGCGGGCGGCGGGGGGGCGAGCCGCCACGCGGGCGCCAGGTTGGGGCGCAACCTCCTCGCGGGACGTCGGTCGGGCGAGTTTAGTCGCTCGCCCTGCCTCGAGCCTCCATCGCCGGCCGGCGCAAACGACCGACACCGGGCGGCGCGGCCAATGCCTCATGGACGTCGAGGTTTCGGCGAGCCTAGCCGCCATTGCCTCGAGCCTCCATCGCCGGCGCGCCCACCGACAGCACCCAGTGATTCCACCGCCCCGCCCACCGCGACCGACACGCACGATGGTCGCACGACCACATGCACCCCTACGCGGGCCACGTTGCCGCACCGTCGGGTTGCTCGACCCTCTGCCATCGTTGGTCGATCCATATGCGCCGCCGCCGGGTTTCTCGATCCGCCGCCGCCGTTGGTCGATCCAGATGCGCCGCCGCGCGGATCCGGCTAGCATGGTCGCGGATCCGTCCACCAACGGCGGATCCGGCCGCCGCGGGCGAGGATCCGGCCACCATCGGCGGGATCCGACCACCACGGTCGCCGGAGGAGGAGATGGAGGAGGAGGGCGCGCCGGCCGCCAGGGGAGCGCTTCCGCCCATGGAGCATCTCGGGGGAGGTACGAGCACAGCCGCCGCCGGGGAAGGAGCTCGGGGGAGGAGGGAGCGGGACGGGCTCGGGAGAGAGGGAGAACGGTGCCGGCTGTGGGGAGGGATGGAGTCAGGAGGGAGAGGTAGAAGGGGTGCGCGGCTTGAGGGAGCACGGTCGCCGCTATGGGAAGGGGCGCGGTCGGAAGAAGATGTCGATGGGGAAAAATATAGAGAGCAGTTTACGCCTTGACAGAAGGGCATTTTGGACGTTTTCACTGACTGGGTCCACGTGTCAGGGTTGGCAAACGGTAAAAATCAAACAGAAGGTAAACGGAATTGCTCGGGAGATAAAAAAGTAAAGTGTTATGACACATAGATGTGTTCAAACTTTTTAATGGCATGTAAGCCATGACCATCTTTTATAACGGCACACACACAGGTAAAAGGCCCCTCATCATTCACATTACCGGTAAAAGGCCCCTCATCATTCACATTACCGTTTGTTCAGCAGGGGGTGGTGTCCTATTCCTAGCTGCTCCTCTCGTTCCTACCTTCCCCTTTTTCGGAATTTCGGAAACCGGTTTCTGGCGTTCAAGCCTGTAAAGCTCTACCCTTTCCGATCCACGTCATCTCTGCGCCGACTGTTTGCATTTCATAATCAGAGCCAACTCTTTTCCAGCGGATTAATCCTTCCTTGTTTTTCGCTAAAGCAGTCCAATTAGCATTGCTCGCTCATATCATAAGTCTGTTGGGGCAGCATTGAGCTCTTTCTGCAGCTAAGTGTGTATTCCTTGCTTCCCGCAATCCAAAGCCGCCTCCTTTTCTCGGCTCCAAATCCGCAACGTTTTCGTCCATTTGGCAATCTCGCTGGTGCTTGTCAAGCTCTAGGATCGAAGCCCGACCCCCAAATTCCAGCACCAAAATCCCATCTTTTGCTTGCTGGTGATTCCGTGGCCAGTCCGATGGGGACAGGCTGCGGGCCTTCTCCACGAACAGGTGGCTCGTGTTCGTCGCCGCAATGTGGCTGCAGTCCATGGCCGGCATCGGGTACCTCTTCGGCAGCATCTCGCCGGTCATCAAGGCCGCGCTGGGCTACAACCAGCGCCAGGTGGCCGCGCTCGGCGTCGCCAAGGACCTCGGCGACTGCGTCGGCTTCCTCGCCGGCTCGCTCTCGGCCGTGCTGCCGTCGTGGGCGATGCTGCTCATCGGCTCCGCGCAGAACTTCCTCGGTTACGGCTGGCTCTGGCTCATCGTCACCAGGCAGGCGCCGGCGCTGCCCCTCTGGATGGTGAGTTCGTCTTTTGCTCTATCCTTGTTTATCATGGGATGTGAATCCTTTGCTCCGTTCTATGGTTGTTCGTCTTATGAACAGTAGAACGGTTCGGTTTGACCTTTTTATTTAGGAGGAATTAACTGCTCTTGGTCATGAAATCTGAAGATTACAGGAGTTACTACCAAATTACAGCACAAGTAGTCAACTTGTTGGCAGTGGCGGACCCAGGATTTGAAACGAGGGTAGTCCTAATCAAATTTTTTCAACACATAAAATCTGAAAAAATTCGCTGACCAAAAAAATTGCAATAAAATCTAAAAAAGTTCACTCACTAAAAAAAGTTGCAATAAAATCTAAAAAAGTTAAGTGACTATAGATCCAATCAGCCCAAGCCCTTCTCTCGCTCAGTCACTGTCCAGCGGGCCTACCTGTTAGGCTCTTCCCCTACCTCTCGCTGTCGCCTCCGCCATCGTCGGCGCCCGTGCGACGAGGCCGCCCCACGCGACCAAGTCCGCGGACCGAGCACCGCGCGGAGCCAGCCCCCTCCCGCTACCGCGTCCAGCCGTCCACCGCACTACGCCCAACGCAGTCGCTCGCGCCCTGACCCACTCTCCCGCGCAACCGAATCGCGGCCGCCATTGACAGCGAGCTCCACGACCTGGCCCTTCCTCCTCCCCTCGCCTCCGCGTCCATAAATCCCACCCCCTCAGCACCGCAACCACATGCCGCAACCGCTCCGCCCATCCCCGAACCCTCTCCTCTCCCCAGTGCCTCCATCCACTGCCGCCACCGCATGGACGAACTCCATCTCGAGCTCCTGATCTCCCAACTCCGAACCCCTCCGGCGCAGGCACAGCGGTTGCGGCCACCCCGGCTCGTCCATCGGCTCTGATTCCCTTCCCATTGCTGCGGCTGCAGCCTCGTCCCCGGCCGGAGGGGGTGGAAGGAGGTCGGCCACGGGCGGCCATGGATGCGGCCCTGGAGTCCTTGGCGAGCTGCCCGGCGGCGGGTAGTCCCGGGCCTACCTGGACTACCCGCTGGGTCCGCCATTGCTTGTTGGCTGTCAAATTGTTCTGTTCCCCAGTGACAAAACTCGATCGGTTTCTATTTGTGTTGTGAACTGCTCATTTGTTTATGTAATTGCCAAGTAGGTGGGCCTAAGATGTGACCTGATGATTAAAATTAAACAGCTGGACTGAACCAGCTGAGGAACGACTGGATCGTAGATCAGATCAAGTGCAATGATGACTTTTCTAAGCACGTTTAGTTTACTTCTGAAATTGACCAATCAAATCACATGACTGTACTGCTGAGGGTATATTCGTTTTTAATGTTGGGCCATGTGCACAGCGTTTTTGTAATTTTAACAGTTGCAGGAATAACCATTATGAATTATATACATCGACAGTAACGGGTTGCAGTGGTGAAAGCTGTCTCATTGAGTCACCGGGTCGTGGGTTCGAAGCAGCCTCTCCGTAGATTTTGCGGGGGAAAGGCTTGTCTCGGTTTATCCCTTCCCCAGACCCCACTCATGTGGGAGCCTCCGGCACTGGGTCTGTCCCTTTAAACAACAATGGCAGACCGTTTTTCCAATTACAAACAGTGGTGGATATGTCAGTGTCAATACCTGACAATAATCTCAGAGAAGTAGCCACCTCCAACACGACCAAGGAAATTCCATATGCTCGTCAATGACACAAAAATATGCGCATCTTTGAACCCAACAGCCTGGCTCATCTGACCCAGATTGTCGATCACTGTCAGACCTGATCCTGATCCAAGTAGGAGCGACCACCAAATAAGCCAAAAATCAGCTTTCACCAATGCCTGCATCAGGGTGAAGTTTTCCCCTCGGCGTGATCGCCTCCGGATTCTAACCCCACCCCTTGCTGCAGCTTGCACTAACTTGGTCTGCAACTCTGCGATCCTCTTTCTCCTTTCGGATGGAGGTAATGAATCAATGTCCTTAGGCTTCTCCTCTTCCACCTCACTTAAAAAGACCTCTGGTTGATCCTCTTTCTCTTGTGAAGTGCTTGTCTCTCCTTTTGATGGTTCAGAAAGGAGAGCCTCTTCAATTGGATGTTGTGTTTTGGATGATAGTGTCAAGGTCATAGGGATCACGATTGGTAAAACAAGAAGTATGAGTAGAACCACAGTGAGAAAATTAACCACATTGTCACTCAGTTGCATGAAATCTTGGACTAGCATGACGCCGACAAGATATGAGGCGAGGAGCAAGCAGATAATGTAGATGAACAAGAATCTGTTCTTGTCGGATGGACGCACCTGGCGGTGACCTCCAACAGGCCTAATAATAAACATCAGGCCAATGGCAACCAATGATGGACCGACTGCAACCATGAATACAGGTGTTGCATGGTCGGGTGTGTGCATTACTGCATACAGTTGTGTCAAGATTGCACTGCTAAGGCCCGCAAATCCTTTCATAATACCCACTGTTGGACCTCTGCTCTTGGGGAAGTTTTGGATGCATGTAACAAGTGCAGTTGTGTTGAAGAATGTCTCGCCGTTGGTCCCAACATAGATAATAACACACATCTGAATAAACAACAGTCAAACATTACAATTAGCCGCAGAAAATAAAGCCATATGACTACACAGTTTCATAATATTTGCTAGCAGAGAGTAGAAAACTCCACATGTTCTCCACATAATTTGGTATGTGTGTGGCATGTTCTCCACATAAGTTGGTATGCAGATAGCAACGGGATTAGTCTGTCAATTGTAATTTGAGAAGCCCATGCTGCTATATACTGCAAACCTGAACACATACAATGCAAAAGTGGATAGATTTACAGATGTAAGATGATGGTAAAATATGAACAAAAAATGCAACTATAGCAAAATGACTGCATTGCATCATTCCCATTTGCCAACCAACACAAAGTTAGGTTGAGGAAGTATGGCTAGACTATTTTGACAACCAAGCAGGAGAAGGAAGGAATGAGGGAGAGTTTCTGCTACAACAGAAACATAGAAACAGCCTACTTCTGAATTTAAAAAAAAAAACTCCACGGCACAATTTCTTTATGAATAACAACTTGAAATTGAGAAAAGGTAGCAACCAGTTATTGTCAACAACAACAACAACAACAAAGCCTTTAAGTTCCAAACAAGTTGGGGTAGGCTAGAGTTGAAACCCAACAGAAGCAATCAAGGTTCAGGCACGTGAATAGCTGTTTTTCAAGCACTCCTATCTAAGGCTAAGTCTTTGGATATATTCCATCATTTCAAGTCTCTTTTTATTGCCTCTACCCAAGTCAACTTCGGTCTTCCTCTGCCTCTCTTCACGTTACTATCCTGACTTAGGATTCCACTACGCACCGGTGCCTCTGGAGGTCTCCGTTGGACATGTCCAAACCATCTCAACCGGTGTTGGACAAGCTTTTGTTCAATTGGTGCTACCCCTAATCGATCACGTATATCATCGTTCCGAACTCGATCCCTTCCTGTATGACCTCAAATCCAACGCAACATACGCATTTCCGCGACACTTATCTGTTGAACATGTCGTCTTTTCGTAGGCCAATATTCTGCACCATACAACATAGCAGGTTTAATCGTCGTCCTATAAAACTTGCCTTTTAGCTTCTGTGGTACCCTTTTGTCACATAGGACACCAGATGCTTGGCGCCACTTCATCCACCCTGCTTTGGTTCTATGGCTAACATCTTCATCAATATCCCGTCTCTCTGTAGCATTGATCCTAAATATCGAAAGGTATCCTTCCTAGGCACTACTTGACCTTCCAAACTAATATCTTCCTCCTCCCGAATAGTAGTGCCGAAGTCACATCTCATATACTCAGTTTTAGTTCTACTGATTCTAAAACCTTTGGACTCCAAAGTCTCCCGCCATAACTCCAGTTTCTGATTCATTCCTGTCCGACTTTCATCAACTAGCACTACATCGTCTGCGGAAAGCATACACCAAGGGATGTCCCCTTGTATGTCCCTTGTGACCTCATCCATCACTAAGGCAAATAGATAAGGGCTCAAAGCTGACCCTTGATGTAGTCCTATCCTAATCGGGAAGTCATCCGTGTCTCCATCACTTGTTCGAACACTAGTCACAACATTGTTGTACATGTCCTTAATGAGCCCGACGTACTTCGTTGGTACTTTATGTTTGTCCAAAGCCCACCACATAACATTCATTGGTATTCTATCATAAGCCTTCTCTAAGTCAATAAAAACTATGTGTAGGTCCTTTTTCATCTCCCTACACCGCTCCATAACTTGTCTTATTAAGAAAATGGCTTCCATGGTTGACCTTCCGGGCATGAAACCAAATTGGTTCATAGAGACCCGCGTTATTGCTCTCAAGCGATGCTCGATAACTCTCTCCCATAGCTTCATAGTATGGCTCATCAACTTAATTTCCCGGTAATTAGTACAACTTTGAATATCCCCTTTATTCTTGTAGATCGGTACCAATATACTTCTCCTCTACTCGTCAGGCATCTTGTTCGATCGAAAAATATGGTTAAACAGCTTGGTTAGCTATACTATAGCTATGTCCCCAAGGCATATCCACACCTCGATTGGGATACCAACCGGTCTCATCGCCTTACCTCCTTTCATCCTTTTCAATGCCTCTCTGACCTCAAATTCTTAGATTCTCCGCACAAAGCGCCTATTGGTGTCATCAAAAGAGTCATCTAACTGAAAGGTTGTGTCCGTATTCTCACCATTGAACAATTTATTAAAATACTCTTGCCATCGATGTCGGATCTCATCCTCCTTCACCAAGAGATGTTCCCTTTCATTCTTAATGCACTTAACTAGGTTGAAGTCCCTTATCTTTCTCTCACGAACCCTAGCCATCCTATAAATGTCATTCTCTCATTCCTTCGTACTCAAATGTTGGTAAAGATCCTCGTACGCTCTACCATTTGCCACAATTACAGCTCGCTTTGCAGTCTTCTTTGTCACTTTGTACTTCTCTATGTTGTCCACACTCCTATCATGATACAAGCGTCTATAGCATTTTTTCTTCTCCTTAATAGCCCTTTGGACTTCCTTATTCCACCACCAAGTATTTTTAGTCTCGTCTCCACTTCCTTTGGTTACTCCACACACCTCTGAGGCCACCTTCTGAATGTTGGTTGCCATCTTCTCCCACATGTTGTTTATGTCATCTTCTTCCTTCCAAGAGCCCTCTTTGATAACCCTTTCCCTGAATACCTCTGACGTCTCCCCTTTCAGTTTCCATCACTTTGTTCTTTCAATCTTAGCTTGTTTATCCCTACGGGCACGCACCTGAAAACGAAAGTCTGCCACCAAAAGCTTATATTGAGAAACAACACACTCCCCTGGTATCACCTTGCAACCCAAGCATGCTCGTTTGTCATTTCTTCTTGCGAGGACAAAGTCAATATGGCTAGAGTGTTGTCCGCTACTGAAGGTTACTAGATGAGATTCTCTCTTTCTAAAGAAAGTGTTGGCTATCATCAGGTCAAAAGCTACCGCGAAGTCTAGAACTTCCTCCCCCTCCTGATTCCTACTACCATACCCAAAACCTCCATAAACTGCCTCGAAACCTGCGCTTGTAGTACCTACATGCCCATTAAAATCTTCTCCTATAAAAAGCTTCTCACTACTAGGTACAACTCTAATCAGGCCATCTAAGTCTTCTCAGAACTGTCTCTTAGCACTCTCGTCGAGGCCTACTTGGGGGGTATACGCACTAATTACGTTCAAGACCATATCACCAATGACAAGCTTGACTAAGATAATCCTATCTCCTTGCTTTCTCACTCCCACCACACTATTCTTGAGGCTCTTATCAATCAAAACTCCTACTCCATTTCTATTCGCGACTGTCCCTGTGTACCAAAGCTTGAAACCTGTATTGTCCACCTCCTTCGCTTTCTGACCCTTCCATTTAGTCTCTTGAACGCATAATATATTTACACGTCTCCTAGTCGCGGTATCAACTAATTCTCTTAATTTACCTGTAAGCGACCCTACATTCCAACTATCTAAACGGATCCTAGTTGGTTCGACTAGCTTCTTTACCCTTCGCACCCGTCGACTCAGATGTGAAGACCTTTGCTCATTTTTCACTACACCCGGGAGCCGATGTAGCGCGCCACTGAGGATGCGACGACCCGATCCTTGCTCACTTGACACCGTGCCCAGATCGCGACACGGCGCGTCACGGGGGTGACGACCCGGCCCTTGCTCATTTAACACCATACCCGGGTTCCGATATGGCGCGTCGCTAAGAGGGTTACGCTCAAACGGTTTTCTTTCGGGTTTCATCTCCATTAGAATGGCTAGATTTAACGTTGGCTCGCCACACCTATCACAACCCTCCTCCTTTAACAGGGCTTGGGACCTGCTATGTTGAGACAACATACATCATAATTTTTTCACCAATACGAAAAGCTTTTTCTATTTTGTTAAGTCTAGGCTGATGTGCTTTACTTCGATTCAGTTATTCTGGATATCAGTATGTTAACATTTGGAACATGGAAGTATGAATGAATTGTCCGTCTTTCCCCATCAGCTAGCTTTTGCATTGAACTGGTCGGTGCATGCAACTCAATAATTTTATGTAAATTGCAATTTCTTCTACTTTCAGTTAATTTGTTCACCTTGTAACTATTGTTTAGGTTTGATAAAGCTTGAATTATTCCTTTGTGCATATCAAGTTTCAGAACTGTTAATATCTTGATTTGCTGTTCTTCTAATCAGGGAACACACATACCCAAGGCACATAGCGCTGGTAATTGCTCAGATCCTGATGGCTGTTGGGCATTTCCTCTTTGCAATGGCTTGGCCTGGAACTATGTACATCGGAACCTTCCTGGTTGGACTCGGATATGGAGCTCATTGGGCTATTGTGCCAGCTGCTGTCTCTGAACTTTTTGGCGTAAAGCACTTTGGTGCAATGTACAACTTCCTCACAGTAGCAAACCCCACAGGGTCACTCATCTTCTCAGGCCTTATTGCTAGTAATTTGTATGACTATGAAGCTGAGAAACAAGCACAGCGCCATCAGATAACAGCATTGACATCTCCAAGATTGCTTCACAACATGGGTTTTCTTGCAGTGGACCACTGAAGTGTGAAGGAGCTGTCTGCTTTTTTGTCAGCTCACTGATGATGTCAGCGTTCTGTGTTGTTGGAGCTGGCTTAAGCCTCATGGTCGTTTACAGAACCAAAAGGGTTTATACTCACCTCTATAGTTCAAACCGCACATGAAACTTCCACGGATAGGATATATCATTTCCTCTTGTTGTTCCATGTACCATAAATTTTGCATTTATGTGTCATATACACACAAAATTAAAGTTTGCCTGTATATAATCATTTGAGGTTTTACCACACGAACTGCTGTTCCCAAATATAAATTTACACGCCTCATGTGTTGAATAGCCAGGCTGTAGTTCAAGCTTGGACCATGAATTCTGTAATAAAGGCTTTGTACTAAGACATACATGTCCATTCAGCTCCGGCTCTACTGTAATTTTCTTTTGTGTGCATAATAGAATCTTCTATGATTCTGCCAAATCTAAAAGCTCTAGTTGTTATTTTGTTGTTTCTCTTTTGCGATGTATCAACTTGTTACCAGTACTTTTTGCGTCCTGCATAGCTTTCCTGTATGTTTGGTTGTATATAAACTGTACTTGGGAACAATGAAAGAGACAAGAATCAGGATTGTTACATTGAGCATCAACTTGGACCATGGAGCGCTTCCACTCTTGTCGAATTGTGTTATCGGAGATCCAAACTTACCAGGTATGTACAGTTCCTCTGAACTGTTTCCATTCTGAAGCTGGAACACACAATGGACAAGTTCTGGTGCATTTTGCAATTAGGCATATCTCTGTTCTTATACATATTGCCGTTACTAGCTGCTGATGAACATCGTGGTCTTTGCAGAAGTACTACAGTAACCTCAGAGACACCCTGCTTGGCATTAGCTCTGACTGAAAAATGATGATTCCTATCCCTTTTTCTTCCTAAGCTTCTGAATGTGACATGTACCTAAGTGATCTTATTTTCTCATGAGATCTGTGTGATCTTCCTATTCAGTTGAAGGATCAATCAGTTACCCAGCTGTTCTACACTGGCTATGTAGAATCTAAACTAGTTCCACAGCTGTACACTGTAATATTAAGATTCAGCCTCTGGCTGCTAATTGGCCAACAACTGAAATGTTTGAACTGGATGAGAAGGACCTACTTGCTCAGTTCTATTTCTCTACACCTGGTCACCCGCATCTCTGAACCATCTCCTACAGTTTTCTTGAGCACTTTTCGCCTTTTGGTCATTGGGTGAGCAGCCCTCATCAGCAATTCCAGCTCTAACTCTTCAAGTTCATCCCTAAGGGGCAACAACAGTATCTTGCTGCTGCAGGTCCATAACAGCAACAGCACATCATTACAGTCCTCACTAGCTGTTCCATTCTGGGTTCTAGTGTGTCCAGCTACTTCTGAAATGTGATCTTAATTAACGTTCTGTTACAGACTCTAGGGACCTGGAGATCTTCAGGGCAGGCTACCCTTATGTTCGTCCATATCATCTGCTGTCTTCTGGAACTGGGTGCAGCTTCAGCTCAAGGCTGCAGTTTATTGCAAGTTCATGTGGCAAATGCTCATGTTCTTTTGCAGGCTCAAACAAATAATCTATATTATCACGCATGAACCAGTTTCAGGATCACTCTGTCTGAAATGTCAACAGTGTTAGTACTTGCTCTAGATATTTTGTGCTTGTGCTGTTTATTTTATTATTGTATTCCTTCTCCAGATACCAGTACCCAGTGCAGAGAGCTCCCTCTCTGTGCGGGGTCTGGGGAAGGGTGTCAGTGACAAGCCTTACCCTCGCCTGTGTAATACGAGGAGACCGTGACTCGAATACAGAACCTTCCGGTCGCGGTAAGACTCTACCGCTTGCACCAGGCCTGTCCTTCCTTCTTCATATACCAGCACAGAAAAAGAAAAGTGCTGGTGAGTGATGATGTAGAGAGGGAATGCTTAAAGACTAGTAACAAGGGGAGTGGGTCCCACACTTGGGAAAAAGGGGTTCTCACACAGCCATATGTACACAAGGTATCTTCTCCGGTGGAGGAAAAAAATTTAGGGTTAAGAGAGGAGTGAGAGGAACCTTTTTTTGGCTGGTGGTTGTGATTTTAACCCTAAGCATTATTGCATGGGAAATTCCTAATATGTCCCTGGCATTTGGTTGTTCTAACACCAGCACCAGGTTACCCCCACTGCTGTGATTTTACACAAATAGCCCCTAATAAAGTGTCACGTACATGCGTATACGACTAGTATATCACATACCTGTACGCAAGCAAATTACCTCATGGGTGCCTTTGTGTATGTCTGAAGTGATGTGGGGCCCGCCAGGAGGACATTAGAGCCATTTCCCATATCGAGTGCCCTTGTGCCGGCCTCAAATCTCCAGCTAATAAAACAGTAATCAGTCGCTAATCACCAAATAAATTCGGCAACCATCCTCTTTGCTTTTATATACAAAAAGTATTTTTTGTGAGAGAGAGAAAAAAAGAGGTGGAAATCCCAAGAAAGCCCCTGAGTTAGGGCTGAACCCGTTGTTTGGGGCTGCACTGTTGCCGGAATTAACTTGGGGGCACCGAATAGGGGCAAAAGTTCGAAACTTTTGGAGCAAACGAAAACAGAGATGGAATAATTTATTTCCCTTTTTACAGGACACACATGACCTAACCTACTTTTTTTCTACTCCTACTGCAGCAGCAGCTACATGACCCTTCTCGGCACATTGCCATTGTGTATAGCAAAATTTTGGAGGCTTTGACTTGGAAAAAAAAAGCTTCGTTTTTTCGAGCGCTCCTCCACCGAAATAAAATTTCTTCTGAGGTGCGTCTCACCGCCGGCCGCGGTCTGCCGCCGCCAGATCTGGCGGGCGTCTCGTCGGGAGTCCCCGATCCATCAGCAGAGGGCGGCGGCCGCCCCTTCTTCCCCGCGGCCGAGCTCGCCTCTCCGCCCGCAGCCCATCTCCTCCCTCCGCTCGCCGCCGAAGCTCACCGCGCCGCAACCCGGAGAGGAGACCGCGCCCAGCCCAGTCGAGCACCGCCTGGGGCCCAGCGTCCTCGCGACCTGCTCCGGCGCGGCGTCCGCCCTCTGCAGCCCCAGCGTCCCCGCGACCGGCTCCGGCGCGGTCGCCACACAGCTCCGCGGGTAGGTCTCCGTCCGCACAGCGCCACGATCTTCTCTCGTCCCTCTCTGTCCGCTTCCTTGTCTTTTTCCTTGAATCGAGGCGTTTCTTGGCTCGATTTTAGCTGGGTTTTGGGGGAGATGCTTGTGAACTGGTTAGGTGCCTCTACTCCTAGGCACTTGTTTGTTTATTTCGCTGGGTTTTTTTTTTCATTCGCTGGGTTTTTTTTTTTTGTTCATGCTACTGCGGTCGAGAAATTTGGATGTCAAACGTTGCGTTTTGCAGTTTCCTCGTTCGCAATGGGGACTTTGCAAAAATAGGCCTTAAAACATGTGTGGCACTTGAAACGACGCTTTTGCCCTTCTGAACATTTGCTCCCTTCTGTTCGTTTGCCTGCTTACGTACGTACCGCCTGGGCAGGCTGGTTGTGGCCGCTGCCGCCTGGTCTGGCTGGTTGGCTGGCCGCCGCCTGGGGCGTCGGGCGGCTGGCCGTCCATGGCTGCCGGCGCGTCGAGGTCAGGATCGCGCGTAACGACGAGAGGTTAGGGCGACACGAAACGTCGGGCTCTCCAGTATTACGTACGCACGGTGCAAAATTCACAGGAGGGCAAAAGTATCTTTTCAGTTGCCAAATACAATGAGATACGAGAAAATAGAGGAAATACACGAAATGACACGAAAATTGAGACCTATTTTTGCGACACGTTACACATGGCAAAACTGTGAAGCGCAACATTTGGAGTCCCAAATATCGAAATTTCTCATCGCGGGTGGCGTTTGAGATTTGTGGGCTTGTGTAGAAAGTTTGGATCTTTTGTTCCATTTGTTGCTATGAAAGACACGATTTTTTGTTGTGGGTATTGTTGGAGGAGTTGCTTGATATGCTTCGCTTAGCAGCTGCAAATCAAGGGTGAATGCGGCGTAAGGATGCTCGGGGGTCCGAATTTAGTGAAGTGAATCTCAGTGCCGCGTAGTGGTTTGATGGGAGCACATGCTATGTCCGAGCCGAAGTTAATACTGGGAAATGTCAGTTCTTCGTGATATAGAACTAGCGATAAGTATGGTTTAAGTGAAGCGCTCACTTCTAACTTGTTTTGGATCTGAAATGATTAGTTCAAACTTGATAGCTTACTGTTCTGGGACCTCTTCACTCTTCGGTGCTTGTTTGTATGCTCGTTGGTTTCTCATTTCAGTCAGTGACGAAGCCGTAAAAAAATTTAGGAGGGACTTAACAAAAGAATAGAGGCTTTTTTATCTTCTCTTAACCTTAGCCCCTCCTACCTGATACATATATGCATAAAATTTTAAAAGAGGGCTTAGGGGGGCTCCACGTGCCCAGGATCGGTAGGGGGGCTCTAGCCCCCCAGCCCCACCGCTGGCTCCGTCGCTGATTTCAGTGGATCTTTATGTTTTGTAGTATATACTGTTACGTCATAGTGTTCTTTCATTTTTGATGTTGTCGTTCAGATTTTCTAACCTGGATTTACTTAACTGCAGGCCAAAGCAATGAAGATTTCTAATCTGGATGCACACTTAATCTTGTCCAGTTATTGATCTTGGGCTTCGCTGCTCCCGCTCAAGTTACTTTGTTGGCCAATGAGTCCAGAGGCGCAGATGAGTGAGGAGTACAATATGGATGAGGCCCTAAAAGCCAAAAATGTTGCTGAGACCAAGTTCCATGCCCGTGACATCAGGGGTGCTCGGAAATACGCACTCAAGGCCCAGAATCTCTGCCCAACACTTGAAGGCATATTGCAGATGGTCTCAACGCTTGAAGTTCATCTTGCAGCTGAGTCCAAGATTGATGGAGAGAGTGACTGGTATCGGATATTGTCTTTAGGCGCCTTTGCAGATGAAGAGGAGGTGAAGAAGCAATATAGGAAGCTAGCTTTGCTGCTGCACCCAGACAAGAACAAGTCAGTTGGTGCTGAGGAGGCCTTCAAACTGATCTCTGAGGCATGGAGTGTGTTGTCAGATAGTAGCAGGAAGGTTGTTTATGATGAGAAGCGAAGAAACCATTCTGTTGTCAACGTAACCAGTGGCATCTATACTTATGATAAGAAGGCAAACAAGAGGGCTCGAAAGAATGCCGCTGCCGCCGCTGCAGCCACAGCTGAGGCTACTACTCGTCCTGTTGGGGTTGATACATTCTGGACATCTTGCAACCACTGCCGGATGCAGTATGAGTACCTAAGAATTTATCTTAATCATAACCTGCTGTGCCCAAATTGCCATCATGCATTCTTGGCAGTGGAGACTGGGTTCCCTTGCAACGGAAGCAGTTCATCATTCTCCTGGTCAACCAAGCAGCAGCCGCAGCCGCAGCAGAACCACAATTCGACCAAGCATTCATATGGCTCAACAAGCAGGACTTCTAGCATCCCTGGGACAGGGCATGGGGGGTACCAGCAAGATAATACTTATGATTCCTACAACAATCAAGGCTTCCAGTGGAATCAGTACTCCAAGACAACACCTTCAGCTGGTACCAATGCTTATAGTACACAGGCCTTGGAGAAACAGAGAAGGAAGCATGATGAGAGCTACAGCTACAACTATTCTGAAAGCGGCAATACATATGTCCATGAGAAAACTGCTTCAAGGCGCGGTCGCTTCTCAAAGCGGAGAAGGCATAATTATGATGCTTACACTACTGTGGATTATGGTGGTGATAACAAAGAAACAGTTGCCGCAAGCACAGAACCAACTGCTGTTTTCACTGATGTGGGACGGGTCAATGGTACTTCAGTGGAAAGGTTTAGATCTGCAGTTAGTGGAAGAAGAGCAAATATTCTGGGTGAGATTACCCAGATTGATACACGAAGTCTACTTCTTGAGAAAGCCAAGGCAACTGTCTGTGAAAAATTGCAGGAGTTAAACATCACGTCATCTTCACGATTTGCAGAGAGAAGAGGATCTGAAGGAAAGCTATATCCTTGTGACAACAACATAAAGGTCAATGGTGTCCTCTCTGACAAACCTGGCAAGGGAGTCAAACTATGCAACTCAAGAAGCATGGAAATCCAAGTGCCTGCTACTGATGACAAGAATCCAGAGCAGCGCCGTGTACCTGTGTCAATTGATGTCCCAGACCCTGACTTCCATGATTTTGATAAAGATCGAACGGAGAAGGCTTTTGATAGTGATCAAGTATGGGCTACATATGACAGCGAGGATGGCATGCCTCGCCTATATGTAATGGTTCAGAAAGTTCTTTCAATGAGGCCTTTCCGGATCCGCATGAGTTTTCTCAACTCAAAGTCAAATATTGAACTGGCACCTATAAACTGGGTCGCCTCTGGTTTCCAGAAGACATGTGGTGATTTCAGGGTCGGAAGATATCAGGTCAGCAAAACGGTCAACATATTTTCACACAAAGTGAGCTGGACTAAAGGTCCCCGTGGCATCATCAGGATTGTTCCCCAGAAAGGGGATACATGGGCCTTGTACCGTAACTGGTCTCCGGATTGGAATGAGCTTACGCCTGATGATGTGATATACAAGTATGAGATAGTAGAAGTTATTGATGATTTCACCGAGGAGCAAGGGCTGACTGTCATCCCATTGCTGAAGGTTGCCGGATTCAAAGCTGTCTTCCACAGACACATGGATCCCAAGGAGGTCAGGAGGATACCAAAGGAAGAGCTGTTCCAGTTCTCGCATCGAGTTCCTTCTCGTCTTCTGACCGGTGAAGAAGGCAACAATGCCCCAAAAGGTTGCCATGAGCTGGACCCTGCTGCAACTCCAGTGGACCTTCTTGAGGTTATCACGGAGCTCAAGGAAGACACGGTGGCGCAGACTGCTAAATAGGACGGGGGCAACTATGAACACTGAAGATAGGTAGCTGGATGTCTGAATGATCAGTCCCACTTCGTTAACGACAACCGTGCCAGCACATGATGGTATCTAAAGCTCTACTACGTCATCTTGTTTTTGGCTGATGACTTGGACAATACTGCCAGGGCAAGCAGCCTGTGTGATGGACTTTTGACCTTTTTAATTCTTAGGCATTTCTAACATTTGATTTTATCACTACACAAAACGCCTCGTAGATTAAATGGCCATTGGGAGGAGGCCGCACACGGCATTGGTGAGGAGGTTAGTCAACGGGAGGTAGGAGAGGAGGGTGAAGGTGTTTACTTGTTTGTGTAGGAGGCAAGTCTGAGCCGAGGGAAAGAGCCGATAGGCTTGGCTTGCCCATGTACCCCGCATTTGTGTACCCCGTTTTTACTTATGATATTGTATTTCCTTCGGTCTTATAGTAATTCATGGCCATAATGTTGAACCTGATAATTGTAGACTCTGAACTCTGGTAACCATGTCGGAAAATCTAGTGCTTTAATTTTATCTAGTGGATGCTTCTGTCTTTGACAGTGTACTGTTTGGTTGTACATCTGAATTACTTGGATCGATTGGTTGGTTCGGGAGCGTTTGGATGGTGTCTAGAGACTGCCGCACCGAGCGTTTGGCCGTGCCACAACTGCGGCGCTGAAATTGGTCGCCGCACCTCCGGCACGTTTTGGCACTCAAAATGCACTAGCGGACCACGGCAAGGCTGTGGCATGCCGCAAAATGGGGCAGCGGACCCAAACGCATGCCGCAACTGCGGCGCTGAAGTTGTGGCGTGGCGTGGCACCCTTTGGACGCAAACCAAACGCTCAAATCTTTGTGCTGACGCATGCTGTATCCAAGAATGTACTCCTGGTATCATGTGGGATTGTACCACTATTCACTCATACTTGTGTGTATTTATTTGGTTGTGAGTTGCTGCCCCTGCAAATATCCAAGTAGGTATGCACTCACTGCACAGTATGATGGGATTTTCTGTTGCTCGCTAGGTGGCGTGGCAAACCAAATACTCCCTCTCCCAAGTTGTCCCAAATTATCTGTCGCTTTGAGTTTTCATGCCGCAAGTTTGACTCGATTTGTAAAAAATGCGTGCAACATTTCTATTTCCAAATAAATTTATTAAAAAAGTAAATTCAAATATCTTTCCAATGATACAAATTATATACCATAAATAATAATATTTTTTAATATATATTTTTCAAAGTTGTTACTCGAAAAACGAAAACGACAGATATTTTGGGACGGATGAAGTATATGGTAAAGGACAGGAGGAAAGAAGATGGTTGGACGTGAATGGGTGATGCATTGTACTCCTCATAAGGCTCCGTTCGCTTGGAGAAATCTGTGAGAGGGAAATACTGTTCCGGATGAAAAAAGAAGCGGATCAAGCCGGGTTTAAGGGCACGCGAACGGGGATGTCGCAAGAATTAATTCCCAAGACCGTACAGGAGGTGCTGGGGTCGATGAATTCAGGGGGAGTACATGAAGGACAATCCAGCTCTGATCTGCTGCACTACTTCAGCAGTACTTTTCAGCGAACCAACGGTATTTTTCTCTCACAGTACTTCAGCATAAGCATCAGCATTGGTTCGCTGAAAAGTGCTGCAAGTATTTGACCACAAACATTTGGAAGATAGATATATGCTCGTTTTTCTTAAAAAAATATAGTATAGATGGCTAATGCACATTTAGTGGCCACGTAGGGGAAGGGTTTGCATGTGTTTGTTCATAGGCTAATGCTTCTTATCCGTATGAGGCTCCCTCGAGACCGAATTGTGGCCACAAGTATTTGGAAGATAGATATATGCTCGTTGCACATAAAAAAAAAGTGGCCCCCGAATAAATAGATCTTTATCAGCATGCATTAAACACTCTATTATATCTCCATACTGACAAAAGAATAAATAAAGAAGGAAACGATAGAAAGTGTGCGCCTTTACACAGACAGCAGTGGCGTACGAGACTGAAAAGAGACAGCATGATCAGAGAGGGCACCAGGACAGCCAAGCAGCACTGCAGCACTCCTGACGGCAGTCTTCCAGCTTTTGCATCTGACGCGCCATAGCCCATAGCGCTCGTCCATCGACAAATGAACAGATAGAGCACGGCGAGCCAGGGTGCTGTGCTGCGCCAGGGCGGTGACAAGGGCACCGCTGGTGGCGGCGGAACGGCTACCAGCCGGCGAGACTTCCTCATTGGGGTGGTGCCAAGGGCCAAGGCACTGTTTGCAACACGGAAAATTTTCCCTATTCCTGCTTTTTTCCTACCTGTAAAGTTTCTCTACAATTCTTGCGTTCCCAAACAGACCCTAAGAATTGTTTCTGGTCGTTATAGCGATCAAATCAACCATATGAGTTCAAAACTCAAAGCAGATCACAACATTGACGAGTTGATACCGACCATTAACGATGAAAGAACATAATGCGATGCTGCAAACACAATATCTTATCCATATCCCTAAAGCAACACCACATATACATGGGAAGCTGAATAAATGTCAGTTACATCAAAATAGCACCTGGCAAGCCCATGAAATCGTGCGATACATTTTCCCTGTCCCCAACTTCACCGAGACAGCAAGTACAGAGATTGAAAGGATGCATCAGAGTCAGAGCGCAACCAAAGTCAACGGCTTTGAAGTTGCACGACACACAAGGGAGGACAGAGGGCTCCAATCCGTCTATGCACCATCAGTAAGGGTCCGCTTCGACGTGCTGATGTACAATACTGCATTTGGGGCAACAAGCATCAGGGTATAACGCACAAGCAGAAAATAAAACGGAGACATTGAAACATTTCTCAGCGGAGGAGACATTTAGAGATTGGGTTTAGAAATCCAGGTCGTACCGTTGTTGCCCCTTATGAAGGCATCACCATACTTGTTCTTCAACTGGCCATTCACGTACTCCTCAGTCTGCTCCATTGCGATGTTCATATAACCGTCCAGACAAGCCAATATACCTGGTTATCACAAGAGTTTGGACAAAAGAAAATTAGTAAAACTAACAATCAAATCCATGAAATGCTATTTTTCCTTGCCGGCATTTTATATCATATAGCGCACTAATTATCATCAAACAAAGACATGCCAGGGCCAGATGGCAGAAATAAAATGGATTTAGGATAGATAAACTCCAAATGTACATGCCAACACTGGAAAACAGCAATCTATTATGTTCACTAAAAAGATTCAACATATATAGGTCTACACCATGGCAAATGCAACAGTGAAATTTGCTACATGCATGATATGCATAAGAGCAAGTAGAGTGATGAATTATTGCAGTGCCCAAAATTCATAAATTTTATGGTTGTACACTGTAGAGCGTGTAGGCACAAACAAATCTTTTGGTGAGAAAATGAGACCTAAAAGAAGTATAAACTGTAAAACAAGCTTACCAGCTTGAACAATAAATCAGTGCATGTAAGGGTATCCAACAGCTTTAATCATCACTTTGCTTTGCATTTTAACAGTTAGTCAGTTTGTTCATCTCACGCAATCTTACTGGTAAATACCAGCAGTGCTGCAGAATAAATGAAAACTAAAATGTGTCTCATTGATCTATCTTCTACATAATGGCAATTATCAAATTCTTCATTTAACCAAAACGCTAGCGGCCCCATAATCAACAAAATATGTATATATTGTTGTTGACTAAGGTACTGCAGACTAATACTCCCTCTGTTTCATAATGTTTATTTACTAGGCCCACTGTCCACATACAGCATCTTATCTTATTCAATTTTTTTTAAAAAAAAAATATATGTCTAGTACTCATTGGATATATCAGTAGTCCATCCATCCAAAGAACAATCTGATTTCATCTCATTGGATATATCAACAGTTCATCCATCCAATGAGACCAAGAACAATCTGATTTCATCTTAAGTTACTCAGCTTTCAAGTCTACTAGGTACGCAGACAGGACAAACGTTGCAAAACAAAGGTACTTAGGTAGTAACAATTAAATGTTTTAGCTAACATATGTTAGCCAAGATATATTAAATAACATCAGAGTACTACAAATTACTTTATGACATGCCAGGTAATATGGACAGTATGCAACTTGGCAGGTGCATACATAGGAAAATGGATGGATGGTCTAAAAGAGGACAGCATACTGCTTCCAGGAGCAATATAGGTACTTCTTCCGCAATGAATCATGTTATTGGCCCTTAGCAGCAATAAACGATAATGGAATACTTTCGTAAAGATAATAATGTTATCAACCGGTTTGATCACAAATTTATTTCAATTTGTGAAGGAAGATACAGGAGTGAAGTTCCTGATATAACCTTTTGTTTTCGTAAGAAACCTATATTGAAGAGCCACAATCAACCAAATGGGAAATAGGCCAAGAACACAGGATAGTAACATATTTGCTTTAATATATTTGTTTTCTATATACATTTGATTTGATGCTTGTCAAGCAACATGCAACAGGAAATGAAAAGTCAATAAGAATTTGCTTGTTTGATACCTCACATAATATGCAGTAATCAAAAGATACATTAAATTCTCATACACACAATTGAATATTGCAGCTTTGCATGTACCAATTTTAGTGAAGTATTTAATATCTATTACGAGTGAAGCAAAGCACTCACTGAGGCTACCAACATTCATGTTCTTCCCATCCTGTATACGGTTCTCAGTTTGTTCTTTAAGTAAACCACATGCAGTTGCTCGCACGAGGACTCGGTCTCCATTCCTCAGAATCTGGTCCACATGATACGGCTTAGGTCCTAAGATATGAAGAGTACCCACCCATGTAATCGCCTGCTTATATAGGGTCCATTAGTGCAACAATATTGCACGTTAGATTCTTAAGTTCCATGTCTAGTGAAACAATTTGTACATTTACACAAAATATCAATATGTATGATGTGCCAAATGTACAACATTCTGGTAAAACTCGTTTCCAAAATCAGTTGATTAGAAATCTGAATGAAATCTGGTATGGACAGGGGATAAAAGGGACATGGCTGATGGCAGTGAAGGCTAAGAGAGGCCAGTGGACCATGGTAGTCATGCAGGAAAGATGAACTCAAGGAAGTTCTTGCCAGAGATAAGCATTACTGCCTTAGTTAATCAGTAGTTGTGATTAGTGTACGGGAATGCGTCTGAGTTGATTCTAGGCAGCTTTGAGTTTGTAAATGCATACTGCACAAGAGAACATTAGAATACACAGAAGTATGCTCTAAAAAAACAGGTCAAGCTTGACTGGAAAAAATACTGAATCGTTGTGTAGACTTGAGCTCAAGGTGAGCTTCAGGTAGCTTGTGGAGTCCATGTTTTTTAACACCCTACAGGAACCTCCATTGAGCATTGCAGACAAAAGGACCTAGTTTGTGTTCTTCTGTTTGCTAGACTTACTTTTGTGTTTCCCCAAATCACATTACAATATTCAAATGTTCATATAAACTTCAACACTTCATGATAGTTTGCCACCCAACAACCTTTCTGTAACCAGAATAAATATGCTTTCACTAGCAAAGCCTCAAAGTCATTTGTTTGATTCTACAACGCGGGCTAGTTCTACAATTGCAACACTGTGCTAATGTGCTCCTTGGTTCGTGAAGATTGAAGTTCGCAAAGATATTATATGTGAGAAATTACCAATTCATACAACAAGTCGACACTGCCCCATGCTCGCCCATCCAAATCACAGATACAAAATCCTAGAAGAGTAACCATAGGCTTCCAAACTAGATATTCAGGGTGTTTCTAGCAACCCCAGTTTACCTTACCGAACGCCCCAAAACGCGGAAATCAGCTAAGTGTCTGCCCACTGACATCCCGGAAACTCAGAGTTCAAAGATTTACGACCGCCTTCTAGGGTTTGGGCAGAGTAGCGGAAACGCGAGAAAAAGCGTGATTGATACCTCTGTAGTCGACGCCGGAGTTGAGCTTGACGACTACGGGGCGGCCCCTGATGGACTTGAGGAAGTCCGACGGCGTCTTCACCGCGCCGCCGCTGCCGCCACTGCCGGGCTTGTCCGCGCCGCCGGTGCTCATCTCTCGAGTTGGTGTGCGCGACGAAACTGCGAGGGTTCGGTGGGTCTTGGTGCTGGGCCTAGGTCCGGCTTCTGCTTGAAAAGCTTGGGCCTACCGTCTTATCTCTTATATATCTAAAGAAAAATGGGCCGATTTGAGTTCGTCACGGAAGAGTTGGACGGTTTGTGGGCATAGACGAGAGGGGACTCGCCCACAAATATAGTGATTTTATATTTTTATTAATAATTAATTAACGAATTTATATCGTAGTCAAATTAATTTAGAAATTTCGATTAATTTAGTTTGATCAGATTTATAAAATTTTACCATCTAAATAAAAGAATTAATCTATCACAAAATATTTTAAAAATTAATCTAATGATGCTCATAAATTTTATTTTATTTTTCTGTAAACTTGACCAGATATAGAATAGTTTAATGTAAAACAAACTCAAAAGTCCTTATATTTAATCCCTCCATCCAAAAAAATGCAATTCTAGCTCTGAATCTGGACACACGTCGTGTCTAGGTTCTGAGCTAGAATTACGTTTTTTTCTAGACGAAGGGAGTACCAAGAGATATGCACGTGCGTCCACGCACATGTTTATAAAAAATTGTTCATAATGGATAAATAATAATAAACTAGATAAATGCCCGTGCGTTGCATCAGGACTATGAACTTTTTTACTGAGCTTAGTAATCGGACGCGGACGTGGACGTATGAGTTTCGAGGATTTCCTATCGAACACAGACACGTGGGGATCCGGTCTTCATATCGAAACAACTTTAGACACTGAGTAGCAGCAACAAATCTTTACATTCGTCAATGTTGTATAATTTCATATCATAGGACAGGTAACATCTAGGCATGAAATCCATTCTCGAAGGCATGAAATCGAATCTTCAAAAAATAAAGAGGAATAATGAATAGTTTTAATTGAGAGATCGAAGGATAGAGAAATTAGCCTCACCCCTGTGCTGACAGCTGCCGTGATGCAGCTCGAGCGTGTACGTAGATTGGGAGGAGCACCATGATGTTGCTGTGATGATCCCATCGATATGTATTGCCTTTTGGAATTATATTACCCGTACGTGCTTTTTGGATTTATAAATAATGTGATGAGGCCACTGACCGTCTTCAAAACGAACTCTGCAGAAGTTTGTTTCGACGTGGACTCTATACGTGGGTGCACTTGCGTCAGTCGTTTCTCAATTTCTCGGACTTCTGGCGCGGAGGTGTACGGACTTCTGACTTTTGTGCAGGAACGGTGACCAAATAGTATACGTATTTAGTATCACCGAGTGGATTGTTACTTTAGAGTTTTTTTTAGTGTAGAGAATTTGTAAACTCAATCATTATACTTATAAAATCATAATGCCATACAAAAAAGAATTATTTTTTAATACATAGGGCGCAACCATTGATGGTATTTCTTATGCTTGAGTGATTGTCGGACCCCTATTTTAGGGTTCTCTGTGCATCATGTATCAGTTCCTGGATCAGTAGCTGATGCGTACAATTTGAACAAAATTGATATAAAAAACCATACTTTTATTGTTAATGGAGAAACACATTACATAGTTTGGGTTTACATAGCTTGAGCCATAGGCCTTATAGTATATATCAGAGTTTTACGACAGCGGTCCTATATCATCGTGGCTCCATTCCTACAGGTAGCTTCGAGTGCGGACGTAACCCTAGACTTATTCCTTAAGCGTATTCCTATATCACAACGTCGTATTCCTAGAGTAGCTCCTTCGTGTAATCCTACAGCTCCGTCTTCGGGTGGCCTATCCTTGCGTAGTTCTCGATAGCTCCATACTCATACGTTCTCCTATTATCCTATCCTCACGTAGCTTCAGTAATTCCACCCGGGTATGTGCTCCTGTATCGTCTCTCCTCAAAATATAGAATGAAGGGGGTTGAGTACATAAAGTACTCAGCAAGACCTAAACTTTGGGTCGAGGGGAGGTGGAAGGGGAAGGCTATATGTGGAGGTGGTTAAAGTAGTAAAGGTGATAGGGTGAGGTAGTTATAATTATAGATTGGACCCTGGCAGAGTATTACCATTCTCACCAGTTTTCGGAGTTAATTATAGTTTACCAAATTAGTAAAATACATCTTACCCGATTCTCACAGTTACAGAAGTCTAATCATAGTTGCTCTCATCTCAGCATCTGCCCATTTCAAGGGCATGGCTATTCAAATAGATTCAATAAACTCTGCAGAGGTGTATAAATTTTCCCATAAGATAGACACAGTCCGACACCATCGTCATGGCTTAGACGGGTCTAACGAGATCCCGTACCCGCTTGGGTGCTACCCTAGATTTCTATATAACTCTACCACGGCTTCTCAGGGGTTGGAAAACACACTAATCTCGGGAGGATACCAAATCGTCCCATCTCATAATCTCGGATGATACCACATCATCCCATCATATAATCTCGAAGGATACAATATCATCCCAACATAATAGTGCCGATGATACCAAATCATCATAATAAATAATAACATGGCTTGAACGCTGTCAAAAACAATAATCATGGGCTTGAACACGGCCAAAAGTTTCAAGGGCTTAACGTGGAAGATCACATAGCAACAACGCCAACCGGACCATGGAAGATCACATAGCATCCGTGTCGGCTCCTGATATTCCGCTGCCAACACCGGCCTCTAAGTAGAAATTATACTTCAATCTAACAGGGTGTGAGATCAAGTCTGCTCATATCAGACATGTGGCTGTACGAAATATCTTACTAGGCAAGAGGGACTACGAACCGGTCCTTATGTGATTGAGGCGAGTATCTCCCATAGGAACCCTCACCAGGCGTTCCTGCCAAGGTAATATATCCCCATATAAATTACCCCCACTCGCCCCTGTCGGGGTTTAGTCCAGTTTTACCAATTTAAGTTCACAGTGGTTATACTTAGGTTCATAGAGCTCATTTCATATCAAGGTAACCATTACCTTATCATTATTGATCACATTAACATAGCCGAGCTCATGACCCATTATAATGCCATTAATTCATAAAAGAGAAATTAGTAATATAAGTTAAGTTTATTAATTAATGGAGATGGGGTATGGTGGATTTATGGTGGAGGCTAGCAAGATGTTGTGGTGGAGGAAAGGGAGTACTTAAGGGATGGTAAATGAAGTGGAGGGAAAGGTATAGGTGGGTGTTAGGACTTGCCTTCATTCGCTGACAATCATATCCTTCTCCGATTCCTATGTTTTCTGTTCCTGTCTTCTGGACTCCATCGGGTTCTCTCCACGTCTTTTATCCTACGCGGTCTAGCGTCGACAAGCAAGACACAAACAAGGAAAAATAACAAGCAAGGCATGTAAAACAAGCATAGGCAACCAAAGTGAAGGAAGCGATCCTAGATGGTTTAATCCTATTGGAGGATGGGTTGTTATCTAGGTTATTATTATTATGTAAATTTGAAGTAAGATTTGGACGAAGGGATTCCATCCATAGGGTAGGACTTCCACGTGTTAAGGTGAGTGGTTGGTCTAGTGGAAAATCAGACCACATTATTATATTTCACTATTATATGAACCTGAAAGAGAATGATGACCAGGTTAGGCTTTCTACAGGTCAACCGGGTTAGTGACACATACGTACATGCATACGTATGTGCCTCTGGTTAGTCAGGTTAGAGAAAAGGCGACGGGTAAAGTTAGCCATACATAAGCGTATACCTGGGTGTCGGGCATATCCATGTATGCATATATATTCTATTATTTTAGGTGATTGGGTACGGGTATATTCGAGTACGTGTTATGGTGCTTACACATACGCGAATATACGGGGTACGAGTAGCTACTACTACGGTCTAGCACTAAATTAAATATATAAAAAGGAAAACCAATCGAAACTAGAATTTAATTGGGTACCAAAAATTAAAAAAAGGAATTGAATATGTAGGGTTTTATTTTAAAAGATTTATAGTGAAAGAATTACTGGATTCGGAATTAAGACGAGGAAGATATAAATTTTCTAAGTTTATCGGTAAAACGTGAATGAAAAGGAACTTGTAAATTATTTCTACAATTTTAACTAATGGAAAATGAGTGGAAAATATCTAGGTATGATCTAGGGTGACTCTAGTTTATTTATAAATTTTGTAGGACTTTTTCCGTAATTAATAAGCTTACTATTTATATTCCTGTGTACAATCCCATGTGCACCTAGCAATTACCCTGTGCCTGACGCGTGGGGTCCAGGCAGTTGTCCAAGCTGACCGGTTACTGTACACATGGGCCTATGCTCCGATCTGTGAACCTGCTCCATCTGTCTCTGTAGTTCATGTGCACCAGATCCATCCAGAAAGGGAGGGGAAAATGGGGCACTACTGTGTGGGCTCGGCGAGGTGGCGTGGTCCGCTCCCATTGGGCGGAGCGACGTGGCCGGGTTCGGCATCGGATGCCTTGCCGTTCGGTCGTCCTGCCCGTTGTCCTCATTCACTCATGCGGCCAAGAGAGAAAAGGGAGAGAGAGAGAGAGAGAGAAGGCAAGGCGGAGGGGGAAAGAGTGGGAGAGCAAGTCAGGGCGCAGGGCGACGGTGGCCGTGGGCGAAGTGGGGCTCCAGCGGCGGCGGCGCTCTGCCCTGGTGCGGCGCGGAGAGGAGATAGAGAGCGACGAGGAGAGGGAAGGAGAGGGCATGGCGCCGGCGGCTCACGGCCACCGCTCCAGCACGGTGGAGGGCGCCGGGCGACTCCGTGGCAGGCTCGGACTGCGGCGGCGCGGGCAGGAAGAGGGAAGCAGGAAGAGTGGAGGAGGAGGAGGAAAGGGAGAGAAGGAAAGGGAGGGCAGCGGCGGCGGCTTCGAGCTCCGGCGGTCGCACAGGGCAGAGGAGGCTTCGACAGCGGCGACGCTAGGGACCTCGGCGGGCAGAGCCAAGTGCGGCTCTGGCTTCGTCGACATCCCCGTCTCCTGCTCGAGCTCGGCTTCCTCGATGTGCGGTGGCGCACAGTACGTCGGTCCGGCAACCATGGTTGAGCTATCGACGGT